CCCGACCCGTCCTTCACCCGCACCTAAAACCCTATCCCCCACAAGTTGCTCGAGCAATTTAAAAAGTCCAAAAATAAGAGCAAAACCCGCGCTCTTCCAAAACGATAATCTCCCCATCGGGAACGGTCTTTGTGCCGCGAGAAAAAGTACCCAAAACATTTATTTTTTGTTTCGGCCGCGATTCAACAGTCAAAAAGCGCCCCAAAGATTAGGACCGAGAGTTTGTTCCAGAAATGTCAAATTATAACGAGCTCGTTCTGGTGACTGATTATTTGGATAATAGTACTGTTTTAATGTTGTAGGGGTGGAAAAAGGCAGTGTATTATATTCTACTATTCTTGTGGGTGGGGGAGGGGAGGCTAGCGATAAAAAAAAGACTACTGTAACACAAAAAGTAAAACAAGTATTGCGGGATTTTAAATATACTGCGCAAAATTTAAAAGTTGTTCGAAAAAGGAAAGTCCTACTGTAAATATAATAACGTCATGTGTTAATTTGTGCCACAAAAACCAAGTTTTTAAATAATTTTTAAGAATTTCTGTTTGGTAATATACAATCAGAACATCCCTCCGGGTCATCAATAATGAAATTCAAAAAAAATGTAAAACACAGAAAAACTACTCAACCCTACCTTACCATATCCTACCCACCAGTGTTATTTCACATGAAAAAACAAACAAATGTAGTTTGTCGCAAAAGAAATTATTTAGTTGGGAGTTTGTTGTAACAGAGGTCCTATTAGCAAGTATACACTCTACATACAATATACAGTAAAACTTCATTAGTGGTTCACTTTGATCCAGTGCCAGACACTCAAGGCACTGGATCAAAGTGCCATTATAACTAGGGTGTCAGAATATCCAGTTAATTTTTGGTAAAAGTACTATTACAAAGAGCAGTCAGCAAGCTGTCATTATAAATAGGGTGTCGTACTGTTGAGGGTCATACTACAGAGAAGTCACTGAAGTTAATTTTCAAACGCACCAGACTTTTTTATAAAAAATAATATTTTATACTGCTAAGAAGAATCAACTTATCTAGTTATGTTTTTATGTACCTTTTACTCTACACTACTGAAAGTAAAAACCAGCCAAAGCCCCTCTACAGTCCAGCCAGAAACTAAAAAACACGTCCACAAATCACAGTTTTTCCGAGCAACGCGACTGACAAAAACAATGTGGCCCGTCAGTGGAAAACCGCCAAAATGATTGATTTTGTGACAAAATTAAACACTTGGCGTTGAACTCGAATTAAACTTTTGGGAAAAAAGGAAATCGCCTGAGGGAAACGAGCCCGAGGATTACTATCATGACTTATAATGACGGCAGGAGATTATCAAAAAATGTGTTTATGGCTGTCTAAGGAACTCAAAACGCCCTTTTAATGCCTGGAACAGTGGGTTGGGACGTTCTGGAATTTCGGAGAGTTTGAAAATTAAAGATTAAAAGTTTTTAATAATTTGAAAAAATTAAAAGTTAAGAAGGTTTGGCCTAAAAAAAAATAAAAAAAACCAAAAAAAATAAAAAAAATACAGTGTCCTACCAAAAAAATTTGTTTTTATTTTTAAAAAATATGTAAAAATGCCATTATGATATACTTAAATGCCATGTTTTTGATTTTCACTTCAGCGGTACCCCAAAACCAAGGTACCGGTTTAAAACAGTTGCTCATCTTCAGGGTACCGGTTCACAAAAAGTGCCCAAACCCAATCCAAAAAACAAAACATGGCACAATATTATACCTAAAAGGCATAATTTTCAATTTTCATTTTACTGATACCTTAAACCAAGGTACCGGTTTACAAAAATTCCATATATTTAGAGTACCGGTTTGCAAAATTCGCCCAAACTCAGTCTATAAATTTGAAAAAATGTCATTATATTATACCAGAAAGTCATAATTTTCAATTTTCACATAAAACCAATGTACCGCTTTATAAAAATCAACCATCTTTAAGGAACCGATTCACAAAAATCGCCCACCTTTAGAGTACCGGTTCACAAAATCAACCCAAACCCAGTATAAACAAGTTACAAACGGGCTAATTCCCAAAAACAACTCATCCATTTAATATTACCTTTTTAAAAGTCGGCTTGATGTTTTTCGACTTTGGGGACTTTTGCCTTACGGAGGGCGGAAGTGCGCTCGCCTAGATTTTTTCGAATCTTCACCGGCTTCATTTGCGTTTTTTCGAAGCCCGCACGGATAAAACTTATTAAGCGTAAGTGGAAGACACGTCGCGTCAAAAAGTTTAGCGATTTGGACCCTACCCTACCCTACCCTACCCTACCCTACCCTACCCTACCCTACCCTACCCTACCCTACCCTATCCTACCCTATCCTACCCTATCCTACCCTACCCTACCCTACCCTACCCTACCCTACTCTACCCTACTCTACCCTACCCTACCCTACCCTACCCCTACCCTACCCTACCCTACCCTACCCTACCCTACCCTACCCTACCCTACCCTACCTTACCCTACTCTACCCTACCCTACCCTACCCTACCCCTACCCTACCCTACCCTACCCTACCCTACCCTACCTTACCCTACCTTACCCTACTCTACCCTACTCTACCCTACCCTACCCTACCCTACCCTACCCTACCCTACCCTACCCTACCCTACCCTACCCTACCCTACCCTACTCTACCCTACTCTACCGTACCCTACCCTACCCTACCCTACCCTACCCTACTCTACCCTACCCTACCTTACCCTACTCTACCCTACTCTACCCTACCCTATCCTACCCTACCCTACCCTACCCTACCCTACCCTACCCTACCCTACCCTACCCTATCCTACCCTATCCTACCCTACCCTACCCTACACTACCCTACCCTACCCTACCCTACCCTATCCTACCCTATCCTACCCTACCCTACCCTACCCTACCCTACCCTACCCTACCTTACCCTACTCTACCCTACTCTACCCTACCCTACCCTACCCTACCCTACCCTACCCTACCCTACCCTACCCTACCCTACCCTACCCTACCCTACCCTACCTTACCCTACCCTATCCTACCCTACCCTACCCTAAAAATAAGCAACGAGCGGACCGACCTTGGTTCAAATTGAAGTCGGACTGGGCCTGAAGATCAAGGCGTGGCTTGACCCAAAAACTGGCCCGTTTGCACATAAGGAAATTCGGGTTGGGCCGGGCCAACACTCAAGCCTAATTCAACCTTTCGCTATATTCTTTTATCGTATCTTATTTTACTTTATTCTACCCTACCCTGCCTCACCCTACTTTATTTTATATTACCCTAACCTGCCCTACTCTACTTTACCCTATATTACATTATTGTATCTTGTTTAACTCTACAATTTTTACCTTGCTCAATCAAATTTTTTTCTAACCTACCTACTTTTTTAAGTTTCTACTCTACCCTACCCAACTTCAAGCGGTCTAAACTCTTGATTCCACCCCCACAAAAATAAAAGCTGGTGCCATTTCACAACTAAATGGATATTTATTTATTTAGCACCTCTGAATAATGAATAAAAACGCGTTGACGCGGAAGTGCCCAAAACAATGTTAAAGACTAAACCGACCAAAAAACCCCACTCAAAATAAAGTCGCCAAAACTCGGTTATGACAAAGACGTCGTGGCCGGATTTGGAAATAAAATTTAATTTTTCCTTGGCCGCCAAACGATGATACAAGTTTATTACTGTAATAAAACATTTATTGAAAAAACGTGACTTAAAAGCTTGAGGTTAAAGTAAAATCTCTAAGCGTAATAATATGGGATATTATACGATACATATCATAGCACTACATTACATATAATACTAGGCCAGTAAATTAAAGTTAAAAAAACTAATTATTATTTCATGTTACAGCATAATGTACAGATTGAGACGTGAGGATCGATGATAAGGGTTTGGTGAAAACCGTGAGCCCATTTTTATTGTAGCAGTTCCAAATTGGACCTCATCTAGGTGATCCTGTATCTCGAGCTACCAAGCCGTTATAAGGTGCTTTTGAAGAGTTCAGGCCATAGAGTGCTTCTCAAGACGTCAAGCAGCAGTCTAAAGTGTACGCCAAGCAATCGATTTGTTACATACGCCGTGCATTGTAAATTATATACAAATGCATTTTGATCAAGCGCAACGGTTAGTCGAAACTGAGTTTGGCAGTTTATGGGTCGGCTTCACAACCGACTGAACCACAACTGCTCTTTTAGTATTGAATATCGTATTTAAAATTAAATATAAGAAGTCATGTTGTACTAGATGACATATCTTTCAGTATACAACCTAAACGTTTTTAATAGAAGTTCTGTTTTGTATAGTAACCGTTATCATATTCAGTGTTCACCATGTCCAAAATATTTATTAGTATTGAAAACCATAATAATATAGAGATAACAAAGCTGAGATCAATTATGGTAAAACCGTACATAATGAGTATGCATTGTCAGTGAGATGGGTCATTGTATGTACAGTAGTAATACATTGTAAGTATATTGTAAGTATAAATTTAAAAAAAAGCTAAAGTAACAAAGACACAAAGTTAAAAAATCTAAAAAAGTAAAAAAATAGATTATACTTTGCAGTACTGTAACAGTGATAATATTGAGCTTGTATTGACAATATAAAGTAGTCAAGAGATGTTAAATGACAATATAAGTATTTCAAATGCAACCCGTAAACCTCTTGTGATAAGGTAGCTGACAGAATTTAAAAATATGCTAGTAGAAAAAATTAGCACCGTAAAAAGCTGAGATGATGATTAATATACGGTCAATCAGATCCTCATATTAGTTCGTGTAAAAAAGAATGAGCTAAGTTTATCGTACCGACATGGAGTTTAGTAGCTCACTATTTTTTATACAAACTAGTATTGTGGCCAAACACTTATTGTGAATTTGAAATTTGGTGATTTTATAGAGCTCTCAGTAGCTCTTACAGAAGACAATAACAACATTCTTAGCTTTCCATTATTGAGTAGAACCAAGCAGTTTTGTAATAGAAGTTAGGCTTTAAAACTTCTGAATATCGTGTGAAACCTTGCTTTTTCTTCTTTCCAATTCGATCCTCAAGCTTCTTCGGAGGTCATGAGATCCAGGTGAGTTTGGAATAATGTAAATTTCATCTCTCACAGCAATCAGTCTTACTACTCGACAACTGATTAGGTACTGGGTGCCAAGGAACAGAACATATAAAGGTAGCAACATTATCAATGGCCACATCTCTTCAAAGGTTGTTAGGGAAACTAAAAATGTTTGAATTGACGAAATTATTTTTTAAAATTTTTGATTTTTTAATTTTTTTTGATTTTTTAGTTTTTTAGGTATTGAAACTTTAAAAATATATTTTGAAAAGCACCTAAAGCTCTTAAAAATAAACTTTAATCCAATTCACCCTGCCCAAGCTACGTTTTGTTGTTTTCACTTATCTACTCTAACATAACATAGCAGTTGATGTGAACTTACTTCCTGTCAACTCAAATTCCATCGAGTTTTCGATGATCAAGATCGCGGCGCTCAATCCCATGATGACAAACTTGAAAACCTAAAAAAATTCTTATAAAAATTGTTTGTCGCATTGTCATAACATATAGGAATTTTGATTCAAAGTGACATTTATGACTTTTAAAGAGCTTAACTTGACTTTCAATGTAAAAGTACAAAAAAAACTCTAATTTAGCATAAACTTACACCTAAAGGTAAAATACGAACAATGTAGTGAATGTAATAAAAAAAAGTCAAAAACTCACCACCCAGACCTTTGTGTAGTTAACCATGCGTTTTTTTTCCTCTCTGACACTAGTAACAACTGCGGCCATACATAACATTGATCCGGTACCAATAACAACAAACAAGAATATGAGATCTGTACCAGCTGATAGGCAACCGCCAATGACATCAATAATGAGGTTTATAATAGATAATAGTACTAGGCATGTCTAAAGTATAAAAATTATAAGTTTTTGAAAATTTGACGGAATTTCACTATTGATTGGTTTATAATCAATAGTTATATAACGAAGTGTCAAAATCTTAGTTTTCTTACATTTTTTTACTTTGATGATTGGCTGTGTTAAGTATAAAAAAATAGTCTCTAAGACAATACGCCACTATTAATTTTAGAAAAAATATAACGAAATGTCACTATTGATTTTTAAAATATTATAAAAGTATTTTCCATAACAAATAAATTACAAAAATGTTGACGAAACCAAAACAACATTGCTCCTGAACCAACTCCTCATCAATGTCATCAATATCGATAGAAGTGGCAGATTGTAGAGATTTTCGCGACGATTCTGAAGCCATAATTATATCGTGTAAAAGACAACTAAAAAGACGCAGCTTTAAAATTGTAACAACAAAACACATGTTTAGGTAACACGGTTTAACACGGAAATCAATATCAAGTTTGTTGCGTGAAAATTTAAAATTGAAACCTTTAAAAATGTGAAGAAACTTATTTTTTGCAGTTCGAACTAGTTTCGAACCGGTTTTTTTTTAAATTTAATTAGTGTGAAACGTTACTATTACTACACGGGGTTTAATAATATTGCGAAACAAATGTAATAACATACTTTTTATGTCAGGTTTTCTATTTACAATCATTTAAGAATGTCAAAAAAAGTCTTGTCGTCAATTTAAACAGGTTTTAACGTTCAAAAACGACAAAAGTTTTTTTTAGCATTTAAGTGTTGTATGTAAAAAACTAAAAATTACACTACAGTAAAAAATACAAAAAAAATGTTTTGTTACAGTAATCCAGAACCCAATTTTAATTTTTATTGAACGAATTATTACAAACCTTCTAGTACAAGATATTTACTAGGTTGTTCAAATAATTTTGAGCCACATAAGCCAGAAAATTTGCCTTGGAAAGTAGCGCAAGATTATTTGAACACCCTAATATCAAATAATTTGTTTAACAAGTTACTGAATTACAGTACATAAGATAAAGCATTACTATTCTTAACTTACTGTATTAACACCCCAAATCTACCAAACTGTAACCCTCAAACGCGAAAACGTTACTGCATGGTAACCCCATTGACAATCGTAATAAGGAAGAGTGTTTGAAAGAAACGTGCTTTTTATCGCAAAAGCGTAATCATCACATGAGGTTAGCGAACGATTGTTGACTGAATTCCGATTACAATAACAACTTCCAGTGCCAATTAGGTTCAATCGCACTCTGGAGCAGAAAACACATGACACAAAGTAGAGTATGTTAACATAGACTTAACGTAAGGGTAAACATTAGACTTGACAATCAGGCCTAGTGTGAGGAAATGAGTTTTTGACCTTAGAATCAGGTTATAAAATCGGCTTAGCCTTGCCTAATTGCCAACTCTAGTAAGCATGTTAACTTAGACTTAACATAAGGTCAACGTGCTTTAAAGTTTAATCGGTTTTAGTCTGTGTTTTTCAATTTTTAAAAGTTTACAACAAAAGGCAAAGCAAAATAGAGGTTGTGACAAAGTTGTGTTTTTAAATGGTCATTAGAGTAAAACGGGCTAGTTATGGTTAGCATAAAGTAATCACAGAAAACTTTGCAAAATTTGAGATAAATGATGACTAAACTTGTAAAAAAGTTGTGTTTTATGAAGTAAAAAGCAGACTGTTTGAAAAAAAAATAGTTTGAAGTTACTGTTTTTGACTTTCAAATAATTTTCAAAAATGTCAAAGGTAAAGATTGTGCCACAGAGAGTGTTTTAACTATACTGCTGTTATTGGTGATTGTTACTATTGCACTGAAATTTTATTTTTAAATAAATAGAACGATTGCGTTTTGTTGTGTGCACCGACTAAAATGAACCACCGGGCTCAAGTTTGCCTGACCGCTTTGCCCGGCCTATGCGCATTTCTAACATACAACTGACAATTGTGAGTGGGAAGAGCTACGTGGGTTATGGAAAATCGCTTGCTAAGCCTACACATGTTCTGACTGCTTGAGGAGAACATCATCACTTTTTAGCTCGAGAAACAGGATCTTAGATAAGGCCCAATTGGGGACTGCTACAATGGATTGCTCTGCCGGTCTTCATTAAACCTCCACCATCCCCCTTTACATCTCAAATTGTATATTTGCGTTGAGAAAGGTAATAAACTTTTTAAAAAATTTTTGAATTAAAGCAACCTTTTGAATATTGTTTTGAAAATTCAAAAAAAAGTACAATATTTAACCAGAAACCCTATAGAATAAGTTTCGGTTTGTCCGAACTTTAAAGATTAGTCTGAACCCTTGTACACACAACCCTCACGCAGGTTAGAAATGACTCAACTGATCGGTTAACTTAATCGAATCTGCCCCTTTCTAAAGTATTTTTTAATCGAAGACGGTTACAAGAGACCCACCCCACCGGTTTGTCGTCATGACCTGTGAACTGTAATAGAGTTCTTTAAAGGTAATACTGTTAATAAGAGAGGGTTTTGAAGTAATGTAATATATCATTATATAAAAAAATGTCTTTTAAAGGAATGTAAGATAGTACTATAATAAAAAAAGCTTTTAATCAGTGTAATATCAAACAATGTTTCTTAAAAAACTATGTTAATATAAAAAGGCTTGTCTTTTTATTCTATTTTTCACAAAGTTCAGTGCTTCACTCAAAACGGATTTTGGAGTTAGAGACACAAAATTATTTGACCAATCTTATGCTATAATAAAAAGTGATATATATGATAAGGAAGTAGTATGTAATGTTGTTTTGATTTAAAATCCAAGCTTCAAAAAACATTAAAATTTGACGTGATCAAGATTAATATAAGACCAAAAGCATCTTCATTGTGAAGTAATTGGTAGACAACGCTAGTGTTTATTACTACATAACTTTAAAATAATAAGTGGAAGATATTAATCACATACTTTTTTCAAGTTAACGTCGTAAACATGAAAAAATGTGACGAATTTGTCAAACTTTGCAGTAAAATAATCAATTTCCAAAAGATGTACTTATATATTAGCTGCTGATTATTAAATTTGCAGCTAATTTTTAAGTTATTACTATCGTTTCTCTATGTAGATAATCATATATTATATAAACAACTCTCTTTATGGTAAACAAGAACATTAGTTCCGCCAATTCTCATTGAAATAAGAATTACACTGGAAGGATAATACTCGGTATAGTAAACACAAAACGTCCAACTCGGTTTTGGATACTGAATTTCTTTTTGATTTATCGATTTTTGCTAAATGGTCCCTTTGAACTTTGTGTACCCGATCGATACATTGATATTTTGATATTTTTTGATTCGTTGTTCGATACGATATTTTTGGCCAAAAATGGTCGATATATCGGGTTGGATCTATATTTTCCAATATATCTAGTATGTATCTAAAGCCTCGTACAGTTTTCTTATATACGAAGGCTAAAATACTTTTACAGCACCCTTCGGTTATTAGTATCATTACAAAACAACAGCTACAATGAATTACTGAATTACTCTGACGACCTTCACTCAACCCCTAAAACATGTCTTACAATTAGGTACATCTTTTGACACTTTCCTTGTCAAATTATAGATCTTGCATTAAAAAAAAGAAAATAAACTTTTAAAAATCACTAAAACAAGCTTTTGATGATTTAAAAAAAGGGGTTTTAATTTATCATCAAAGATGTTTGATGTCAAACGTTCTGTAATTTATTATTTTGATTTGAATCAAAATTAAGGCAATTTAAATCATAAACTATTATACTTTTGTGTTTGACTTTTGTGCAAACATTTTTAAAATTTGTAGAAATTTTAATCAAAAATAAGTAATAAAGAAAAACATCTTTATCAACTTGTTATCAGTTCTTACAAAAAAAAAGCCTCAAAAAATTAGTTTTTAAAACGAAAAAATCTACCAAGGTAAAAATGTGTCAAAGTCATCATGTTACAAGAAATGGTGAAATATTTAAAAAAACGTTTGTACGGTGCTCATGGTAGTTTAGGATATGGTGTTATTGATTGCGTTTAATATTAAAATATTGTAATCACAACTTTTTTCTACCTTGTATATATCTCTTACTATACCCTTCAATCTTTATCCTACTATATTCCCAACTTTCATCATACCGTACTCCTTAGCCTTCATTATACCCTACTCGCTAACCTTCATCCTACCATAACCCCTAACCTTCCGTCGTAACAACTACAAAAAGTGGCAGTAAAAGTGACCAACAGTCGAAACTGCTGACTTGAAACATGCTTTTTCTGTGTATTTTTTCAAGTTCAGCAAATATCACGTTTGCGACGACGTCACGGCCTCTGTTCTTTTTACTCTCGATTATCAACTTTTGGTTATTCGAACCGTTTTTGATACATCACAAACGAAGCAAACTTTGTTAATTTACAAAGAATGATGGGATTGTTACAACGTGGGGGAAGTTTTAAAGATACTGTGGTAAGAATGTTAAGTTGGGTAGTTGGAATAGGGGGAAGTGTAAAGTCTGATGAAGAATACATATGGTTGTTTACTAGGTGGGGGAGGAAGTAGGAGGTGTAAATAGAAGTGTAAAGGGTCTGGCTAGATCAGGAATTAGTAGAAGCCTTATTTTCAAACTAAGGATCTTACAATCACATTAAAAATTGATTAAAGTATATTATCACAAATTCAATTTATCACAACAACTAACAAATCTTTTGTCTTTTAAATAAACAACAATATAGAAAAATCCAATTTTTAAACACAATTCAAAACTAATTCTTAAATAAACAACTATTCTTTCTATAAGTATTGTATAATAGCAAAGTTTTTTTACACTTTTTGAAACTCAAATTATTCGCTGCAAGATCTATGCTTAACCCCTGAAGTCTTCAGCTAAACTCGCTTTTTAAATCCGCTTGATCCGGCTTGGCCCTGTTCTTTAAACTGCTTTGACTCAAGCCAGGCCAAGCCGGGTTGGCTTAAGAGCTCGAACGATTCAACCAAGCACGGCCTCATTCAGATTTGTCTGACTACGCTAACAACTTGTTATAGGCTCTTTTTCAAGGTTAGATGTAGAAGATTACAAGAGGTTTAAATAAAAGTGGCTATTAATTGGGCCAGGTTCTAAAATTAAATTTGAGGCCTCAGTCTTCAAACTTTCAGCCTGACTTGACTAATTTAAAAAAATTATATTTTTAATACTGGACTGCTCGAAAGTTGCGGCTTATATCAAAAAAATGTATTTTTTTAATTTAGTCTTAATTTTTGAATATGTACCGATATTGTTCAATCTTATAACCCGTTATTTCAACTATAGTGTAAGTCAACTGTAATCAATGCAAAGAATGTTAGTTTTATCGTTTCGAAATTTCTATAAAATAATATTAAACATATACTTTATTGGGAAACAACAAATAAGTAAACAATAACAACTTCAAAGATTATAAAAACTTAAAAATAGTTAAAAATAGATGAGATTCTTTAAGAAAGGTTGCGACGTAAAAACTGCGTTAGACTTTCCAGAAACTTCTAAAGCGGTTAAAATACGCTTTGATCAGACTTCTCAAGAGATACGGAATAAAAGGTCATGGTAAATGGTGATTACGTAATAAAATCAAAAGGCAACTTTTAACATTGGTTTAAAAATATTTTAAAAAACATAAAAAATTCGAAAAAAGATTGAAAAATCATTTTGATATTTTGGAGACCCGTAGTGAGGGCGTCCTACTCACTACGCCTACAATAAAAGCAACTGAAGTCTGTACGGCAACTGTATTAATACATTGTATTTGCAATTACGCTGATATTATGCCCATGATTACAATATTCGCACATTTTGAGACAATTTACGTGCCTGTACGAAAGACAACTCTCGCACAAAAAGTGCAATTTTACGGGCTTACTACTGAATTACAGTCTTTGCAAAAATGGAGGCCCTTACAATATTGGCAGTGTATTTATATATTAGTTCCGCTGGTCCGTACCTAAACTTCTCAGTTGTTTCAGAAAGCGTTGTGATCACCAAGCTTTCTACGTTGTTTAAACTACACTTTGGAGGGTCTTCGGTGCATGTTAGAGCTAAAACATTTCATAATGTATTGCAAAAAAACTGGTTAAAGTAAAAAAGTACAAAATTAGAAACTAATGTTCAATATGATAGCACGGTGTAATATAAAAAATTCTTGCTATTTATGTTTTTCAATTGTTTGCCATTTTTGTTTTGCAAAGACAATTCTTGCCGGTTCTCTTTTTAGAAATAAAGTTCAATATGACTTACAAATCTTGGAGTTTTCGATCATTGTGGAAAAGCCTAGAATACTACGTATTCTGTTTAGTGTCCTGTCGTTGCCTTCTAACTATAAAACATCATTTGTAACACTTAACAACACTACGTGTATATCGTTTTGGGATGTTGAAGATACTGGGAAATTTTGAATCAAGTCGACGTCAATAGGCTCCGGGTCGACGGTGACCGAACTTGTCAAGGATGGAGCTACGGATTTTTTGGTAGCCAAAACAAGTCCATAGCCAACTACAAAAGTCCGCTCAAAATTGGTGAAGAAGATAATGAAGGAGATGAAGATAAGGGCGGTTTAGTTTCCCTTGCTACCCTATTCTTTTCTAGAGAAAGCCGAAATAGTACAAAGCCAACTTCTTTTCTAATATTTTATTGAGGAGATCGGTAGTGAACGCGTCATGCTCAATACGAATACGGTAAGAGCAAATAACCTTTATACGGCAATATCGGGCCATTTTGTATTTTTTGACGGCATGATATATTGCTCGTCACACCTTAGATAAGACACCAGATCTACCCGTATCTCTACTATGCTTCAGCTTATTAACCATAAATCTACTAACTAAGAGTCTGAGTTATCTGATTAAGATAAAATCTAAAATATGTGATGAAGAGATTATCTATAGATTGAAAACCTGCAAGATCTGCTTGTATAATATTTTATTATTTAAAAAAAATACATTTTTTAATAAATAGGACCAAAAAGAATGGTCTGGTTCCGCTTCGGATTCTTGTTATATCCCTGTAGCACATCCCATCTAACTTTGTCTTCAGTAAACTTTAATCCACTTTTTAACGGCACTTCATCAAAGTTGATATTGTAGCTTCCTCGAGTCATGTAGCTAGTCAACATCTTCATGGCCGTAACTCGATCTCTCAAAGCATTTACCTCAGCTGGCTTTGAGTTGTAGTAGGTCTTGGTCATTATTACATTACCGTCACATTTCTTGCCATGCCCACAGGTTTCTAGACTAAATAGGTGGGCTAATATTATACATGTCAGTAATAGCATTACAATTGGGCCAAAGAAGGTGGTGTACTTTTCAATTTTTCGAAAATAATGATAAAACTTGGTTTTTGGGCGTTTCGGAAATAATGGCACATTCTTTAGAGATTTGCATAGTACTATGAATAGTTGTAGTTGATAAACCAAGAAGAATATAAAAGTAGCTAGTAGGGGTATCTGATCGTAGATGTGGTATCTTTTTAGAAAGTCTGGGTACTTGTTACTAGATACTGAATGCAAAAGGCTTTGTATAAGGTTGGTTAACATTGTGCAGGTGAGTTTGGTGATATTGTACATTAGTGTTACCTAAAATTTCAACAGAAGAACATATAAAAGATGCCATAGTAAAAACATAAATATTTTATCCATACCTCAAAAACCATGCAAGCAACCGTCCCCCATTTCCTCCCAAAATGCCATGCCAATGCTATACATATCATGTTAAAAGTCAATCCAAAACCAATGGCAAACAAGTCAAGATCTGAAGAGAAGTTGGCGTAGGCTATGATGATCAACATATATAGTGGACGACATAGGAATCCAAATAAAAAGGCAAAAAATCGTAAGCAGATAAAGGGAACACTCTCATACTGTGGCTTTGGTATAGGTTGAGGTCGACGTTTTGGTTGGAAGTTTGTGTTTGATTCGAACTGAAAAGATAATTTTATAAAAAAAAGTTTAAAAAATAAGCTTTTGATTAAATTGTTCTACCGTATCATATTTTCGAAGTATTAGGTGCTTGCAAAAGTCTTCCGCCAATTTTTCTAAACTTTATTGAAAAATTCCAAAGTGTTCTAGAACCTTCCGTTGATAACCTTTATAAAGAGATGTCTAATACTTACCCTAACAGAATTAACACCTCTTTTTCGACTACCAACAAGATTATTACAATCAAAATTGTTATTAGTTGATGTAGTAAAAACTGAACAAGAACGTTTCATAATAAATCAAAATTAAAGTCAGAATTATCTTAGCGGCCATAGCATGAAAGGATTCGTCATCAATGACTGTCAAGTTTGTTCCAAATTTAAAAAAGAACAACGTTTCAATTTTGAAAGATATCAGCATATATTTAAAAGAAATGCTTAAATTTATTTGAGCGCTTAATAATTTTAACTGATCGATAGTTTAATATATTAGTAATAGTATTAAAATTAACAGTGAACATGATATTATTCAGTAGCTAGTTTTTTAATTCCATCAGTTGAAAGACGATAGTAGAGCCAGCCTTCTTTGTCCGTCAGGTTTACCGCTTCAATCTAAAAAGTTGTAAATTAAAATTGTAAAAAAAATAGCTTAGGTTTTCTCTAATTATAAATTTTTTTATGTGTAAATATTTAATAAAAGTAAATTCAAGGTTCGCCTAGAAAGCCGAGAGTAATTTTTAGACTTGACCTTACAGTTTTCAAGCTACACAAGCTAAGCTTGTAAGGGAACCACTCAACGCAGCTCGAGCCCAAACCGAGCCAAAGAAAATTTGAAAGAGGCTGGGTCATGTTGGCACGATGACGGAATCCTAAACCAAAGACCCAGCAAACTAAACAAGTGCCACAGCTTAAGTCCGGCAACGAAAACTAAGATTTTTTACAAGTCTACAAAAAGCGAAAAATTTTAGATTTTAAACGTAAGAGAATTATGTAGCATATGCTCACCTTATGATAAAAATCCCTTGCATTTTGATTCCAGTTCAAACACGTCCAGTTGATCCTTGGCATCTTCTTTTCATGAGCTTCTTTAGCCAATTCTTTTACCAAAATCTTAGCAACGCCTTGTCTTCTAAACTCTTGTTTTATGTACAAGTCTTCCATGTGGATTCCCTAAATAAAAGATTATAAATGAGTAGGGGGGGGACTATTCTGGAAAAGTTTATAATCACATTTACTTACCTGCCCTTCCCAGCTCGAATAAATATAAAAGTACAAAACCATTCCAGCCAGTTTTCCATCGACAAATGCTAACTTTACTTTGACCGCATCTCTAGCCAAGTCTTTCGCCATTATTTCTTCGTTTATTTTAACTTGATCTGGCATTTTTTCGAATTCAGCCAGTTCTCGAACGAGCTCCATGATGTGACCAGCATCTTTTAAATTTGCTTCTGCTTGACGAACTTCGACCATTTTAATACTAAACTTTATTTTTTAAATTGAAAAAGTTTAACTAGAAAAATAAAATATTCGTATTTTACTCAAAAAATTATTACATTGTATAAAAAGTAATGAGCTATATCTCACAACTAATAGAGAGTTTAGCAGCTCATTACTTTTTGAACAGATTAATATAAAGAATATAAACTTATATGTATAATATATAATATATAAAACGCAAAAAGTCTGTGTGTCAAAAGCGATAATGTGTTTGGCTTTTAAAAAAGAGTGAGACAAGCTTTTTGCTGGTCACTTTTGGTTGTACTTTTATATAAACAAAACAATTTTTAGATATTAAAGCCGAACGTCAATTTGATAATATAGGATTAAGAATCACTATACAAAACCACTTTATAACAAAATAATTTGGAATATCCTATAGCTTTTTTACAGTAGTTAGAATGTAAGTCTTATTCATATTTACCAAGCTTTCTGATTCTCAAATTTATGAATGGTTTTTGTCAGTTTGAACCTCTAAACTTGAGAAATGTGGTGTGGTAATGTTTAGTCATAAAGATTTTTAAATCAGATTAATTGCGCTGGATAGATTGGTCTCAACGCGAAAAGCTTGATTCAATGCTTTCTATCACACTGTCTAGCTCGCGCTTGCTTTTTTATTTTTTTGTTCATATTTGGACTAACTCATATTTTAGGATAACTTTTTTTTGCTGTAACTGTTTCAGCTTTCTTTGGCTGTTTGACTTCGCTTTTTGATGTTATTGTAATAACGTGTTAAACCATAAAAAGACATCCCGTACTATCCTATTTAAATTCATCCTATTTTAATTCAATAATCAGTGTAAATTTATTAGGCAAACTTGATATTGATTAATTAAATTACGTTGTTCAAATAATTCTGTGCCCCTCTCAAAGCAAATTTTCGTAATGGGGAACACCGAATTATTTGAACAACCTATTAAAACATTAACATACAAAACATAATAATAAGAGTTACAATGCAAAACAGTATCACATATCAGATAAAAACAAAAAAAAAAATTTGGCGCTTCAAAACATTTGACTGGTCGATATTTTGCTAACTGCTGTCGAGTTGCCAATTTTGACTCGGAATTTGCCAGTAGTGATGAAGTCGATGATAGCTTGTCGGTACATGGGAATGACCAGTAGTACTGATAAGGGGTTCAGTACTGGGATAAGATTCATGGATATACATCCAAAGAAGCCGAGTTGAATCATGACGCCGGGCGTGGCAATTAAGGGGTATAAGGCTATGGCTCCGGTTGGAATGACTAGAGAGATGAGGGGGTAGAGGGCCTGAAAATGGGGGTTGTTATTAGTGATAAGAAGGTTTTAAATTTAGATTTTATACTTTACATCCGTGGCTTTTTAAGAATGATGTTATGATATCGCTGTTTTTAAAATTCTTTGAAATCTTCAAAATTTCCTGTTATTTTTTAAACTTCAAATGATGTAATGTTACTACTATAACATGTGTAACTACTACACGTGCTTTCACAATCATTTTCTTAAAATATTTTTACATCTTACAAAGTGCTTTGCTGCTATAATATACACCAACGCACATCCGTAAAAGTTTTTGCATAAAAATCGCTGACATTTTACAATGAAAAATGACATTTTAAATTAAAAAATGACATAAAAAGCAAAATGAGATTAATACCCAAACGAAGGTTGACCTTGACATTTGAAAAGTCTACGAAACTTATTTTTAGCCATTTTTGTAAACTTTAATAATTGATTGACCACCCACGAGTTGGTGGGCCAACAGGGTTTAAAGAACGGTGTGGAACAATTAAATTTAGTTTTTTTTTAAATTTTGTTAAATTACTGGGAATTTAAAAACTGCTTTGCACTTTAGTTTTGCGGTCAATTTTGTAGTAAGGTTAAAATAACTTAAAAATTTAAAAAAAAAATTTTTAAATTTTGAAAAAATTTAAAATTTTGAAATATCATGCAAGTTAATTTTTAAAATTAAAATTTAAATTTTTTAGAAAATTATATTACCTGCAAAACCATGATCCTTGTGATATGTCGTTGAGCTGCTGCCGTTTCTCGTGACAAGTTCCCCATCGTTCTTTTGAGTGTTTTCGAAATTTGGTAGCCGAAGTAAAATACGGCTCCATAGGCTGCCATAATGATAAGATCACAATTGGCAAAGTGGGCAAACATGGCATTTAGTTCGTGCTGAAATTACAGCTTATTTATAACATTAAAGTTGTGTTGTAAAATACGTTGCGCTTTATTGTCTCTTTGAATAAAAATCAATGGTGACACGTCGTCTAACAAAGTTTTGTGCGCTACGCGTTTAAAATGCGCTTTTTAACGTATGTATATTAGCTTGGTAGTAATATACGTTGTGTTGTAAATGTGGTCGTACAAAAATAAAAAAATCAATATTGACACTTTGTCACATTTTAAAAAATACCGTTTTTTGGGTTAAAAATGCAAAAAAAGTGAACCGTGTTTAACTTCTTGTGTAAAAATTAATTTTTTTAAATACAACAGTGATAACTACTTCAAGTAACTTCAAACTAAACCTTACCGCATCCCCAGCAATGTAATCAGAAGGCATATCATTGGTGTAAATCGGGTTTTCCGCTAATATTTTAGTATATTCTTTGCTCGGCGCTTTGAAAGTAAATTTGAATATATAACAATGTACTAGAAGGTACAGTAATGAAACTCCGTATGTTCCAGCCAACTGTCGGTTTGTGAATGGTTTATCACAACATACGAGGCCATATCTGTACATGAACTGCATTGGTAACGCCATAATTGTCATGTAAAGGGCAAAGATCCAGAAGGAAGAACACCATCGGGCACTGATGATGTTTGTGGGAAAGTAGGGGTTGGCTGGAAACATGTACAATATCGCTCCGTGAAGGTCTACTGTCTGAAAAAGTGGGTTTTATGATGTTATAGGTCAGGATATTGATGTAGGTAAAAAATCTTTAAAAAATTTTCAGTTTTGAAAAATTCAAATTTCAAAAACAAAAATTTTTAAATTTCACAAAATTTCAAACTTTTTTCAAATCCAAGTTGCCCTTACCTCCATAGTGATCAGATCTGTAACAGAGTAAATGAGATCAACTACAGTATTCATCGCAATCATGTGACTGTATCCTCTGAATGATTTGGGCGTCTTAAACATGATCAGTAATAGTACTAACCATCCTAGGAACCATGATACGATGAAGACGCTGACTTCGTAGTAAAAATGAAATTCTCGTAGCCAGTGGGTAGTTTTGTTCATTTTTTAAGCTAAAATGACATTTTTAGATAGTTTGGTTAGGTTTTGGCTAGTTTACACGAAGAAATTAGTTTAGAAAATAAGTTGCGTTAGCTGCACGCGGCGTATTTTACAAAAAAAATTGAAAATAAAATTGTCATCCATACCCTACCCTACTTTATTCAACTTTACATTACTCAGTCTCACCCTTTTCAAATTTAAAAACTTAAGAACTACCATAACACCACAAAGTAACACCTTTACCACCCCAACAAACAAGCAATAGCAACCTTCCGAGTATCTTTGTTACCCAAACAGCGACATTAACAATATGCCTTTCTCCGCCTTCTAACCACCCCTTGTCACGACATCCTATAACTAACTTTACTGCCATTTCATTGTTCAACTTTTTCGTTATCGTATAAAAAGCTACAGCACATTTGTTTATAACAAATTTTCCTTATTATGCCAAGAAAAAGTTTTGGCGCATGAAAAACGTGCAAAAGGCAGATTAGGTAAATGTAACTAGCATAGTTTGAAGACGCATGTTTGGATAGAACATATGCCAAAAGTTAAAGTATGTTGAGGTTAGAAAAGTTAATAGGACGAGAAGTACAAAACGTATTTTACAAAAAAATTTATTTTTAGAGGGGGGAGGGGGGGGAGAAATGGCCAATTTTTTCATTTTTTTAAACGCAAAAATACAAAAATGAAAAAATTTTATTTTATCAATGATACGTTCAACAACCTCTTCCCAGCCTTCTTTATCTCTTTAACATTTCTTAAATGACTACTCTTCCCCCTGTGCTACCACCCCACCCCACCAACACTGTAAAGTTTCCAAAATTTTCTAGCCAGTTCAACCCGATCCAACCATAAATCCTCTCCCTTTTTCAAAATTAAAGCCCGACCCAATTGAAGACGAAACTGAGTTATACGGTAAAACCTTCTCTATATGATATCAATGTGTCATTTGAGTGCGTAAGAGTAGAATAAAAAGTGTAACAGAGTAAAAATTATACCCTTTTTCAATCTTCCGACTAAATTTTAATTCAATTCCAAGCGAATTATAATATGAAAATTAAAAAAGTTTTTATAGAAAAGTTGCGTAGTATGTTAACATGTACTATAAAATAGTAAATAGTTTGTTGCTATGTAACATTGGTAATACGTGACATGAACGTATTAACCATTTGTCTTCCTGAAAAGGTTTTTTTTCCAGATTAGTCTAGGTTTTTTGCAGCTAGCTATCAATGGTTAGGTAAATAGCTTTTGAAATGTTGCGAAGAGATACTCAAGAAGTGATACGTGTATGACACACTAAAATATTAGATTGTTCAAATAATTATGTGCCCCTACCCCGGAAAATTACACTTAAGGAAGCACAGAGCTTTGTGCAAAACTTATTACTAATTGTGCCAATACAAAGAAAAGTAAAACAACAAATTTTTACAACTTATGAATAATGTAGTTTAACTGAAAAGTGTTATACTTTACACTTAATACAATATCGGAAAATTGTTGCGATAAACAGGTGGCAGTAATTTTCTTAATAAAGCTTTGCTTTAGTTTAGTTTTGTATAACACTTGCTATAGTTACTAATGGCTTTGTAAGCTTTGTAGTCGTACTATTTTGAGATATTGTGAAAACCACAGCTTTATATAGCTATCCTAGAATAGCAATGTAACATAAAACTACAAAGTAATTTTAGATAATTTATTGTAGTAGCAAATGTAAAAATCTTAGCACTTTCTATCTTATATTATACAGCCACTATCTGTTGTAAAAACTGTGTCTAAAACAACGAAAAAACTTGCATAATATCATCTTAAAAGCTTTTAAAAACATCCTGCCAAAGCGCAATTTTACCCACCTATCCAACTTTTAAAGCTGTAACTAATTGTTACAAAAAAAGTTCAAAAAACGTTTTTTTTTATTTGTAACAACTATTTTAGGTGTCAAAACGTAGAAGATCAATTACCCGGATTAACCAAAGTACTTATTGGAAAAAGCATTTGTTCAGCTTTAGAGAAAGTACTTCTAAAAGCAACAAAGCTCAAAAACATACGCAAAATTGTTACATGAATTGTTGTTCGCCTTACCATACTGTTCAATAATCGTTTCTTGTCACCCCAAATAGTCCGGTTTCTTTAACATTTGCATTGACTCGACACAGCCCGTCCTGGAGCTGGGCTTAGGAGACTCTTTTTTTTGCTCTACCGCCAGTCTTAACTATACCTCAAAATTTGTTTAACTTGAAAGCTAGCATTTTTGTTCATACTTTTGATCGCTATACTGTAGACCTAAAAAGAGGCATAGTAAGCCCGTTTCCGCGTTAGGTTAAAAATTAGCCATTGGCCCGGTTCCTACAGGTAAGAGCCAAAAACGGGGCCGTAAGTCGGTTTCCTTGTAATTCCTACCTACAGGTCTACCTCCGAAAGTTAATTGTCTAGACCTGCTAACAAGCTTGACAAACCAAAGGCGTTTAAACTAATTTGACAGCCATTTTAAGAAAGCCCAAGGCTTGTTATTGTACTAGCCATATCATCAAGTAATTGAAGAAGAAGCGTCAGTAAGCAAGAAACACTTTTAATGATAAAGATGTAGCCTATAATCTTTTACATGTGTGGTTTGTTTCATAACGCACTTGCACTAATGTAGCGTGCTTGAGCCATAAAGCTATTACTTATAATTATAGGCCATGGTTGTTAAATAAGCTACAATAACAAGCGTATCACATGATGTGTTGTGAAATTTGCACAATTTTTGGTTTCTGTGTGCTAGGCTTTGAGACAAAAATAAACTTTTGTTACGAAGTCTACCATACTCAACCTTGCGCTACCCTACCTTACTATCTGGTTGACCATCCGTTCAGAAAAATGTATGTTATTATATTATAGTTATATCTAAGCTCTATATATCTTAACATAAACAACAAAGCTTATAAATAAGCTTTTTAGTTAACCTTGTCAACAAACTAACCCAAAAAACCTTAATATCACAGTAAAATCTGTTATCACACCCTAACAAAACCGCCAATTACTTGAATACTGTCATCCATTACGTAGCCAAACATGTTGCCAAAACATGTTATAATACAATACCAGCATTATTACCTGCTTGTTTATGTTCTGAATGCTAGAAGACTACCTCGTCTCCACAATCATATGTTCCAGTAATTAACTACCATTTTTAGGCCAAAATGCAACATGACGAAAAGTAACATTTTACTGAATACCACGGTAATTGTGACTACTATACACATGTTCGTTGTTTGAATGCAAATTTGAAAGTACGAAAACCGCTTACATAGTTAAAAGCCACAGTAACGCGACTTGTTTTTATAAATGGATTTTTAAGAAATTGTAGATTAGTACACTACTTTTTGGAATTTATAGTGCATTTGCAAAAAAAGACTTTTAAAAAATTTGAAAAACTATGAAAAGTTTGTCAATAACCCAGACTTTCTCTAGCAAAAAGAAAAGCCTAAAAGGATGATTTACCGTACCTTACAGAACTATTTAAATACAGTAGAACCCCTGCATAACGAAGAAACTTCAAATCCCTGAGCGATTTGTTACACAGGAGTTTCACTGTATCAATAAGTTAAAAACAAGAAAAAAATAGAAGAGAAAGACATTTCCCTACCATACCTTACCCTTAGGGGTAAGAAACAGACCATGTAGGTCCATTCAAACCCGGCCTTATGATCCAGTCCCAGCCGCTGCTAAGCTTAATTTGAAACGAGTCAAACCTGAAAGTTAAGCCAGGTTTGCGGGGAGCTTGAGATGTAAGCTTCGGTTTAATTTTTTTTAATTTAAAATCTTGAAAAATTTTTAGTACAATTTTTTGATTTGTTGACTATCACAGTCAATAAACGATCTAAAAAAGCCAAAATTTTACTTATTTTTTAAGTTTTTAAATTTTGAACTTTTTTAAAACGGGTCGAGCCAAGCCGGGCCTAGAATCCTTTTATCTGGCCAGGTCAGATTGAGGAAAAAATAAAAACGGACTAGGCTTCAAAGGTGAGTTTGGTCTGTTTCTCAACCCTACCTATCCTCTTATCTTACTCTACCTTACCCTACGTTACTCTACCTTACTCTATCTTACTCTACCTTACTCTATCCTATCATATTCTGTCCTAACCTACCCTATTCTAAATTAAGCCTAAGTTTGATGTCTAAATCGTATCTCACCTTTAACCCTAAGACCCAAATCCACGTTAAGCTTTTCCAATCTATACTTACCTACTCAGTCCTTACCGTACTCACGAACAAATTGCCCTCCTTTTAACTTTTAAAAACTGCTTTGTACTACCGTTTTCCTCACTTATATAGCGATTAAAAACCGGACCAAACAAAGGTCCATTCGAGTCAAAAAACGAATTAGAGATCCGTAAACGAGTGTAAAGTTCAACAATCTCCACCTCTTTTTACCCCCAAAAATACTCGGAAAAACTTGAAAAGTCGAGTGCGTACTCACGCTAAAGTACAGTGTTCGATTAACTTGTAACATTAAATTGTAAAATTGTATATAGTCAAGTGTATCCAGTGTAATTACTTGGAAAACAAACATACGCTTGTTATGACAGTAGCAAATATTTACGAACAGTTTGTGATTTCTAAAATTTAATAATACATTACATAGAAATTGTACAATTACATGTTTTGACAATGTAAAATTTTAAAGCAAAACATTCTTAGAAAGAAAGGATGTATTCAACTTGTTTTTATAGCGTGTAGTTCAATTTTTGAAGTAATTCATACGTTATGAAACATAGTTTATACAATACAGTACCAGATAGGATTCTTTTGTGTGATGTGAGATAGCTGTAAAAAACCGGGCTAGGCGTAATTGTTTGTCTTGGCCCGACGTTTTTTCAAATTTGGTTTAGGCTGGTTCAGTTTGGTTTTGCCTGCCTCATCCCAGATTACCCCAGCCCTCCCGATTCTTGCTCACACCAAGCTGAGACGGAGCGAGGCTAAACCAGTCTTGATAAGTTCTCTAAACGGATCAAAAATCTGTGTTAAATTTTAATTTTTTTGTGTATCAAAGGTAGATACTATTCATATTGCTGAGCCCAGTTAGGCTTCTCTACAGGTGTATCTCACACATCTTTTCTAACTCTTTCAGGTTCAAAGTCAGCTATAGCCATTTTTACCAATAAAATTCAAATATAAATTTTGTTTTGAAGTAGTAAGTTATGATCGTTTTACTTACTAGTTAACTATCTAATTCATTTTTACTTTAAACGTCTGTTAACGTGATATTTTATTGTTTACAATGTTCAAAACCACCATATACATATAATTATTATACTTTCTACTACGCAGATCCGGTTACACTGTTGGTGCTGCAAAATATGTTTACACTGTCTATTGTTTTAAAATTAACTATAAAAACTATTATTGTTTTTTGACTGTAACAACAAGGTTTTGAATGTAATGTAACGCAATGTTCATAAAACTTAGAGATCTCTTTGCACGTTGTAGGTACTGAGTGTATGACGCATGCTACATAGTCTAATATACCCGTATGGTAATAGTAAATTACATATCATACGGAATAAAAAAGCATCTTGTAGTGTCATTTTGTAATAATTTTTAAAAAACGTTTGTAAGTTTCGACCATTTTTTGATTATTGAAATAACACGAAATTTCGAAAAAAAGTGTCAGTAATTGAATACGACCACACATACGACAAAGTACTTGCACTACACGGAACTGAAACTGTAAAAAAGTATTTTGAGGTACAAAATCATTTGTGTAAGTTCATTTTTAATAAAAGTTTGGCAATATTTTTAGAACATCACGTCAGGTTCGAAAGTGCACAAACGTGCCAATTCGTGGACGTTCGGTTTTTATTGTTCTTTGGCTATGATGCGTAAATTAGGATACTGTAGTTATGGTTAATGTAAACGTTTTTTTGCTTAAGGGTAAAAGATAGGGTAGAGCAAGATACGACAGGGCAGGGTAAAGCCGGATAAGACAAGATAAGGCCGAGTAAGGTAAAGTAGCAAAGAGAAAGCCCAAATAGGGTGAGGCAAAGCAAGGCAAGGCAAGGCAAGGCAAGGCAAGATTTATTTGTTTATATAGTAAAACATACTGTAACTTTTTTTCCGGAACAGAACATTAGGTGTATAAAAATTTATTTATTTTCAAAATTCAAGCCTTGAGATATGCACAAGAAGGTCGTTTCGAAGCTCTTCGCCGCTGTAGCGTCTGTTCTGTCTCTTCTGGACAACAAAACGGATAAAAAACGAGATACAGAATGACGCTGAAATCTATGCATTAAAATCCGGAACTTAGCAACCGTAAATTTAGAAAATAAACTGTATTAAATTAAGTACAAGACGAAAGAAAAAAGAACACAACCATAGATAAATTACAAAAAAAATTATGTGGTTTCTACTACTGCCTACCATAACATATATGTAGGTGTAAAGGTCAAAAAAAATTAAATTTTAAAATATATTACACAGTAACATAATTTTTAATCAAGTAAACAACGTCTGCACAGTACGAACCTATAACATTATATAAAAAACATTTTTTGTCAATGTAACTGCTCTTTTAGTCTTTGCACTTTAGTTTACAGTATATCATAGCAAAAAACTTGTAGTATACCCGTCTAACTCAAAAAAAAATTTTTTGATTTTTTTTGTTTAATAAAGGCAAGAGAACGGGACTTCCTGCTGATGTTCTGTTTTTGGTAACAAAACTGAACTTACAATAAAATGCAGAGTCCAAAGACTGTGATTACTAATATGCACCAGTCGAGGCTTGGTAAGTGGGTTCCAGTTGATTCTGGCATCATAAAGAAGAGTTACATCGAATTGTTGAGGTGTTTCTACAGTAATTAAGTTAAAATTCATAAAAAGCATAATTAACTTTATAAGCTTTGCTAGATGTTTAAAGAAGATGTGCCGGGCTCTTACATTTTGCAAATCAAATTTTCGTTGCGGGACCTATGTTGGTTAGCTTGACCTCCCTCCCCCCCGCTCCTCTGTTCCAGATACTAGCTCAAGCTGGGCCAGGCTTTGCAAGCCCCTTTTAGAGTCTAATTCTGAGCAATTACACCCAAACTTTATAATACTACTACAAACGTCTCAATACCAACTTACCAACGTAATTTTATGTTACCATCAACTTTTTATACATAAAAATTCAAAATAGAAATAAAATTTTTTTTCGTATTTCCAGCTTGGCAACAGTTCAAGCCTAGCGTGTCCCTAAAAGCGTTTAGTAAATTCCGAAACCGTCGCCAGAATTTTTAATGTCTTTTTATATGTATTCGAATACATCAACGTCCAAAAACACTTTAGGTGATAATGGGGCTCTGAATGAACCAAATGGATGACCAAATTCCGGTTTTCGAAAAACACGTTTTTAGGCCGGAATTCGACCATTTTGGGTTAAACGTAAGGAACATGTGTATGTTAGTTATGTTTAAAGTTAATAGATAATAGCGCTAAAAAATTTTTTAAAAGAATATTTCAGTTTTTAGCAATTTAGGTAAAATTTTTCAAGAAAGTCCCATTTTTTAATTTTTTCAGTTTTTTTTTGTAAAATACGAAGGTTACTCTTATTAAGTCTTAATGTTTATTACTCTTTAACATATGTACATACAGATACAACAAAGCTGTCACAAGAGTCTTGTCGTTCATCCAAAAGATTTTCAGACCCTAAAGCGACAATGCATTTGTTACTCTAATGTTTAACACAACGATATTAAACACAATATTAATAAGATTTATACAAAGAACTGACTAGAAAAGGCAGTAGACCGCGTTACATAAAGGTATGAATTTTTGGTTGTGGTAGGAATGTGATATAAAAAAATTTAAACATTGTCATTAAAAAGATAACTTAGATAATATAGCACTATTAACACCATTAAAAATATAAAAAATCCTATAAAAACTTTTTAAAATAAAAATCGTCTTAAGAACAAAAAATTTTTAGAAAATCTACCCCAGCCTCCAAATAGCCCGTTTCCCATTCGAAAACTTATCAGCTCCCCTTAAAAAACTACTAGGTAACGAGTAATAGTAAGCACTCTCTTTCCTCATCACAGTTCGAGCATGCTCCAGTCCAGCCGGCTCCCCCGAGTACCATGGAAAAGTGTCAGCACAATGGGAAGAGCCTCTTGTCATAACTGACACAATATGTCTTTCTTTGTCTTGGACAAAGCTTCCTAATGTAGCCCATGGATCGTAGCTTCCGTGTGATAAAACCGTGTTGGATCCGTTGAATTGCCATGGTAAACCGTAGGTTTGAAGAGTTTTGTCCACATTTCGTTGGATTTGGTCTTCGGAGAAATGGGAGCCAAAGGTTTCGCGACAAATTCGTTTGGAATGACTGAAAAGATAAGAAAATATGAAAAAATAGAAAAAACTGGAAAATTTGGTAAAAATATAAAAGAAAGATAATAAAAATCTAAGAACTGCAGCAGTACTAAATCGCGCTTTCCAGACAATCTCAAGACAATCGAGATTAAAGAATTATGTTTTAAATTACCCGCCAAATTGGCATTGTGTTTCAAGCTTATAACTTTGCCTTTTTTGGCTTTTAATCATTTTTCTTTGATATACTAGTAGAAAACCTTTAAATAAACCTAAATTTTTCAATTTGTAAGCCTATCTTGTTTGGAAAGCCAAAAAAATGCTTGAAACACAATGTCAAATTTGCCGAATTCGCGATATACTCAAATATACAAATTTTAAAATTCAAAAGTGCAAGCAAAAGATTTTTTTTGTTTCATAAAAGGTAAAAAAAAGTTTTGTCGTTTTTAAAGGTCAAAGCCAACGTAAAGTAACGACAAGGCTTTTCCAGCCCCAAATATATTTCAAAAAATCTTTAAAATGCCCCATTTTTCAACAAAGCATTTTAACAATCGTTTTACAATTTATATAAATGACCTACCCTTTAGGAGCACTGTTAACAAAAGGACCCTTCGGCGATGAGTATTGGAACCAACCAAACTGATTACAAGTCATCCATGTCCAGCCACGAGTTGGAGCTAAAACAATATAATTAGAGCCAGTAGAAGCAGTATGACTTATAATAATAATTTATGGTATAATGGTAAATACGAAATGGTCTTACGATGGTAAAATACGGGCCGCCCAGTATTGTTAACTTTAAAAGGCAAAAAAACAATAATTTAAAAAATAAAAGAAGACTTACATCCATTAATGTCAGTTTTGGTCATATATTCAATGTGCTTCGGGTAACTGGCCAAAACTGGATATCTTCTATGTTGAGCCAACCATCTGACATGATACATACGATCAGGATATGTTCGACTTGTATTCATCATGATTTTGCAAATGTTGTCCACTGTCAAATAACCTCCTCTGCGAGTATCAGCGTGCTGAAAAATTCGATTTTATACCATTTTCGGCCGTTTTTTATTTCAATATGACATAATTTATATAGATCTATATTTTATTTTAAAAGTTAAAAATATCCCCAAAAACTTCCTTTGAAGGGGAGCTCAGAATTATTTAAACAACCTAATATTAGGTCCATAAATATGAAATTGCGTTTTTTGACGGCTTTGACAAAGGTTAGCAAAAATAAAATAAAAAATATTTAAAAAATCACAGTAAAATTTCTTTTGTATGACGCTCGATAGTGTGACATCCTTGTTATAATGACAGCTTTTTGATTACAATTTTAGTACAACTCCAACAAAAAAGTACCTGGATAGTGTGACACCCGAGTTATATAAAAACAAATTTGGACTAAGCCCTAGAATGTCATGCTAATAAAGTTTTACTGTAAAACTAAACTGATACTTTTTTAGCATCTTATGACTTTTATAAGAAAAACGTACCGAAGAAATGTAAGTTCGTTGAACGACCTGTTCAAAAGCATAGAAGAAAGTCGTGCTGACTACAATAAGATCTTCTTCTTTTGGGTTTTCAATCTCCAATTTTGGGCTCAATCTAAAAGTTTTGTAATAAAAATGTGTTTTTTGTTTCAAAATTCAAAAAAATATTAGGTTTTTCAATTATTTCCGTCCTCCATCTCGAAAGAAATTTTCGAGCTTAAGAAGCTTATAATTATTTTAACAGCCTAATATAAAAAACTATGAATTCGTCGTATTTTACCTAAACTTTTTGTTGATTTCAGCTCTGCCTTGAGGAGAATGGAGCTTTTGATCCAAATCCATAAAGCCATTTTTGATTTCTTGTACACAACTTGGACTGTAGTCGTTGAACACTCCTGTCATAGCTGCGTCGTACTCTAAAATACACAATTTTAACATTTTTTCAAAAAAAAAAAAAACAGAAAAACAGAAAAAAAATTTTTAAATTTGAGCCGACTTCAGGAAGATAGTCTTACCTTTAAAATCAGCCTTTGGTAACATAGGAGCAGAACTGGCAATCGCCCCTTGACTAATTTCCGGATGCGTCATTCTTAAATAGGCGGCCAATGTTCCTGAGTATGACATGCCCATTAGTACCCATTTTGGATTGTTAAAGCCTTCGAGATCATTAAAACCATTGATAAATGATACTGTATCTTCAATCGCTTGCTCTACAGTAAGATACTTCAACATTGAGGTAGAGGTGTCACTGAAAGAGCACTTTTTAGATTTAAAATTATTTTTGAATTGGTTTATTATAAGTTTGTACCCTGCCTTTCCTTATCATGCCTTTCGTTTCCCTGTTATGCCTTACCCTACCCTACCCTACCCGAACCTATCCTACCCATAATTACCGTACCCCAAAAACCTACCGTAGTCCCTTATTCCGACCAAAAAACCGATGTTGCAATTGAACAACCATTGCGTTGTTCTCTTTTGCAATAATCATGTGAGTGTAATTGTCGTTACACATACGATAATCAGACGTATCTTGTTCACCACCAAGAGTCAAGAAGACACGTTGTTCACCATTGTCTTTGAAGTACTTTCTGTTCACTTGGTAGTGCTGAAAGTCAGTACGTACTATAATAACTTACTCTTTACGCCCCTATCTATATTTCTTTAGTAATGTTTGAAACTTTTTGTTTTTAAAATACAGTATTATAGTAACCAAAAAACATCCAAAAGCAATAATAATATTTTACCTGTCCCCAAACAACATTATTACTGCTGTCAAAGTGATCCAATCGTTGATTAAACCATTCGTTAGTAAACTTTGATCCATCTGAACAAGGTTTACTCTCCGTCGACATACAATTGTAGTTTCGACATGGGGTTAGAGCTGACACAAAGCCAAATAGCAAGGGGAGGGATAATGGTATCATTTTGACTAAATTTTAAAATATTATTTTTAAAATTTTAAAAATAAGACTGTAAAAAGTAGACGATTCTAATAGTATTAAAAATGGAAATTTCTCTCAAAATTCAAAAAAAAATTTTTTCAAAATTTAATTTTTTTTATATCCTCCAGTATTTGATACGACAACATATTTCAATATGACACTATTAGACTGATAAAAATTTGCCACTATACCCCCAACCTCAATGCTAAACAAGACACAATGCCAAAGACAAATCCCATAACAATATAAAGACAACCCCAATATCAAAGACTTTATTCGCACCTTATTCTTAATAAACCGAAGCTTCTGGACTAATCAACGACTCCAGACTCTCGTATCTGCCGCTCTTTCCCTTGGCGGTATTACAAAGACAGCTAGTTTGAGTACTCTGAGTGACTTCGTCAAAACCAGCTGCAATCCTCGGTCTGAATGGGGAGTTTCTAGCCGTAAGAGTTGAGATTGGAGGTCTTGGGTAATGAGATCTGGCAGTTTCAGTAGCCAAAGATTCGTCGGACTCGCGGATCAACTGGTTGATACGTGGTCGAATCGAGGCTGCAGTCTTGATGGTCAAGGTGTCAAAGTTGGGACAGTTCTTGATTAGCTCCTTGATGTCTTGGGAGCTGAAAAATTTTTAAATTTGAACTATAATATCAAAATATCTTTTAAAACATAAAAAAAGCTAAAAATTAAATCTTAATGATAATAAAAATTTTTAAAAATGTAAAATATTTAGTACAACAATACCTAGTATTCAAATATCGATTAAAAAACCTCAAAAAAGCCTAAAAAGTCATGTTTTACCATGTTTTAGATAGCAAAATTGACCTAAACTAAAAAAACAAACTGAAAAATATATCGAACCAGTTGAATATCATCTTTTTTTTTGAGCTCACGCTGAGATGTACGCAACTTTTGCCATCAAAAAACCATGTAAAAGTGCAAAAAAAGCATAATCCTATCAAAATATATGTTACCCACTAACCTAATCTAGACATTTTTTATATTAAAACTTCCCCAAGCTTCTAGAGATTTGGTTTTTGTTACAAAAAACGTCTCCTCCCCCCCTCCAAAAAAAATATTTTTGGTTTATCTTACCCAAAAAATTCATTTTGACCCGCCTAAACATCAGGCCTTAATACCTTAATTTTGCAACCTCCCGCCCTCCCTAAAAAATATTTTTACCATGCCCAAATTTTAAATTTTTTTCTTGTCTCCCCTACCCCTCACAAACACAAAACTAAAATATTTTTCCCCCTACCGATGCCCATCAATACCCCAAATAAATTTTAAAAAATTTTTTAATTAAAAAAAAATTTTTTTTTTAAATTTTTTAAATTCCATTTTTTTTCAAAATCCAGCTTTTTGTAAGCTCACCTCAACTCGTGAAACTGTCGACGTGTGGGGCGAACGCGTCCGGTTTTAAGTCCGGCGTCGGCGGAGGACGTGAGAGTGGGCGGACGAAAATCTCCTTTGTCGAGCTTCGAGCCGAAGGCGTGGCTCGGCTTCGGATGACAATGACTGTTGTTGCACGATCTGCTCGCAGACTTGAGCCTGCTCGCCGGCTTGCTCATCATTCGATTTTGGATCGTGGCCAACGTGGATTGACTGTCCGTGACTAAATATGAAAAATTATTACGTTGTTCAAATAATTGTGAGCTTCTCTCAAAGTAATTTCTAGAGTTAGGGAGCACAGAATCATTTGAATCCAAAATTGACTTTTTTAAAATTTAAAAATTTTTTAAAATTAAAAATTCAAAAATAAAAAAAAGTTAAAATACGAATTTTTTTACAATGTAATGTCATTAAACGTCCACAAAACTTAAATCTACCTCGAGGAGAGAAGGCTCGAGCAGTTGGAACAGAATGTTCCTGGTAGTACGAATAGCTCTCCAATGGAACGCCGGTTTGATCAAACTCTTCCTCTTCCACTTCATGCGCGTTGTATTCATCTTCACGTGACTCTTGTTGAATATTGTAAAACTGAAAAAAATTATCTTCACTCCGCCCGGCACTGCTTATATGTTTACTCCATCAACCATACTTACTAAAATTTTAAATTTTCTAGCATGAATCAGCCTTCTATATGCCATAAAATTTGGTTTTAAAGTATTTTTTTTTGCGTTTTTTCGAAACTCATAAACACGTTTCACAGTATAACTTAGTATTCCGTTAAATTTAAAGCCCGTTTCACTCAATTTAAACTCAAAATTTTAAATTTCCTGCTTGTATATCAATTTTTATCACTACTCAAACACTTAAAACCTCAAAATCTATCAGTTTTGAACTTCACTCTATTATTATCTTACAATACTATAACTAATAAATTACCGTGTGTGTTAAAAATGTACTTTTTGCAACCTTGAAAGTACGAAAAAAGTTGATCCGCACCGCATTTTTTAAAACTGACCGCAGAAGATTGAAAATGTGACTAATCTTTTCGTAAACGTTTGATTAGCTAACAATAACAATTATTACTACAAAAAATAGCTGTAAAATCAAATAAAACCAAAGAGCTGGTCAGCTGAGTTGTTCTTAAAATATTTTTTTTAAATTCGTAATCTTTAATGTCTTAAATTTTTGTACTCAAATTTATACCATAAAACAAATTTTTGTAAATTTTGAATATTGCGGGTTTTTGGCATTGTGTTGCAAGCAAGACTCCGACTGCTTTTTGTATAAATTTAATTTCCTTAAGGCGTTAGACTTAATTTTCCTCATTTAACCTGCCTAAAAGTCCAAAAAACCATTCGCAACGGAATGCCAATTTGGCGGTAAAACTAAAATTCAATTTTTTAATTAGCCGTTGCCAATCCGTATTTTACCAAAAACTCATTAATTTTCAAAATTTCAGCCCTCAAATGCCAATTTTAAAACACAGAATTTTCGAAAATCTCTAGTTTATAGTCACGTATGACAAAGTTTATCGCAACGAAACGACCAAAGCACGGTATTTCGGTTATTTCTCTAAACGTTGCACTTTCGTCCAACCTCATAAATTAGAAACAGCTGATTTTGTAGAAGGTTCGCATGGTACGGTGACAGTAAAAAGTGCAACGCCATTTATTTTCATGATCGCATGGTAAAAGCAGATCTTTTACCATCGGATTTCGTTTTTTGATTCGAAACGCTACAGAAAAAGTGTCTGGGTCAGCTAAAAATACAAATTCATATCGGTCATAGGGGGCTAGTACACTTTTTTTTTAAATTTCAAAAAGCTGTTAACCATTTTTTTGAAATCTCAGTTTTCAAAAAGTTTTGGCATTCTGTTGCAAGCAGAAATCTTTAAAAAAGAACTTTCCTTATGCTGTTAAACTTCAGTTTATCCATTTAGCTCCTAAAGGCCCCAAAAAAATATTTGCAACAAAATGCCAATTTGGCGGGAAAACAAAAATTCAAAAATATTTCTGGTTCAACAAAAAATACAAATTTATCTCACAGGATCTAAACTTTTGTTTAAATTTCAAAAAAACTGTAAACCATATTTTTTAAACCTTTAAACTTTGAGCTACTGGTCTTTTTTTAAAAACCAAAAAAAAAGTTTTGTCGTCTTTTCACAATGAAAACCGATATAATTATTTTTTTAAAACTTTTGATCAAAAATCATACTGCAATAAATTTTTTTTTAAATTTTAATTTTCTGCATCTCTCTAACCATCCAATAACCAATGCTTAACGAACACATTGTCGTATCTTCGCCATTGTATTCGTACAATCAAAAGAAACAACACAAACACTGATTTCACTTTTAAAGACTGTACTTTATGAATACGACAAAAGTTTTCGAAAATGCGAGGAATGCGACAGAGAACGCTTCAGACATCTTTACACTGTTTACAAAAGAAAAGCACCGCCGGCGTTTCAAAAGATCCTCAACTGGGTCATAAACGCATTCACAACACTCGGAACACTGTTCCATTGTGATATTTTTAGATAACGTTCAAGCGTTCAGGGTGTTCCGGAAGGGTTTAACCCTGAGACGAATTTTGCGAAACTTAAAAATAAAAAATTTTTCATAAAAAAACTAATTGAAAAATAAGTTTGATAAGACAATAAAAAATTTAGAGAATAAAAATAGAGTTTTTTGCTTAAAAAGTTTTCAAAATCAAAAAAAAATTTTTGGCTTTTACCCTAAAAATCAATATCTTCGATTTTGACATTTCGTCAAAAATACAAAGTCGTCTTTTTATAAAGCGCTGAGATAAACCTACATTCAAAAAGTAAAACAAAGCCCAGTAAAACAAACAGTTTTTATATTTTTAAAATTTTAGGTAACAAACAGCTGGTTACAGCGAACTTTCATATATGTTTACGCTCTATATCAGCATATTAACCAAAAAATAAAAACCAAGTTTAAAACTAAAAAACTCACCGTCTGAAGCCCGTACAAAGCCAGAACCACCATCAAAACGGCCTGAATTAACGTTACCCACAACGTTCCACTGCCCTGATCTACAATAACATAAGTTTGTCCAGTTTGAGGTGGAACCGGAGATTGATATGGTCCTGAATGCTGATACTGACCAGCGTACTGATTCGCGTATTGTACATGCTTCGGAGGTGGACTGAAGAAGTAAGACAACATCTCGCAAAGGTAGCCGGTTGATAGACCAGTCGACTTTTTTGAAATAACGAAAAGCCGCTAAAAAAGAATTTTGAAAATTTTAAATTTTGAAAAATTTGCATGTTTGTGAAATTGAAGTATTTTAGATTTTGAAATGATCTTTTGATTTGAAAAAATATTATTAATAGATCCCCTAGAGGTCTATCACAACATGTTTCTTTTTGTTATTCGACTATATTGTTATAGCTAATTTAAAAATAAAAATGAAAACAAATGTTTTTTTTGACATTATGTTTTGACCAAATACCAGTGATACAAAGCGGATCACGAATAGACATGAAAATAATAGCTAATATTTACTGCTGCATCACCAAAGATCATGGTGAATATAACGTAAAATAAACATAACATTACGTACTTACTAAAATCATACGTTTTTAACTTTAAAAACTATAAAAATATACATATAAAAATAACACTAGAAATCAAAGAATTTACCTTATCTTCAACAAAAGTCTTCTCATTGATATGCCATAGTTTGGAACGACCAGAATCGTCTTTTATAGACATTCACGGATTTAATCAATCTCGGCATTCATTAAACTCTTTGCTCCCTTTACCTTACTTTAAACTATCTATTTTACCTAACCAAACGTTTCAGCCAAATCACCGAAACTCACGAAAATCAAAAATTAACAAGCGTAATTAAATATTGTAACATTTCATAAAATGCAACAGCAAAAAAACGTCAAAAACACCCTCAAACCAACAATATATTATTCTTTACCTAAATCTTCGTAAGAAAAATAAAAAATCAAATTTACCTTTGACGTAGAATCGAAAGCATGTCTACGACTCAAAATTCAGCTCAGTATTCTGGTTAAGCACCTAACACAGATCGACAATGCTTCTCTGAGCTTCTCCCACTTTGCTTTTGGTCCAGCATCAATAACATCTTCACCATCAGTCAAGTCCACGGAAATCGACCAAACCGTTCGACGTTTGACTTGAGTAGCTTCTTGAACAGCTTTCTGGGTCATCCTAACTTGAGACCTATCTAAGTTGACACTTTTTCGATAATAAATTTGTCGAAATATTTTACGCGTAATTACGAGTTTATTTATTTTGCCGCGCATCGCGGCCAAGGCAAAGACCCAAGTTATACGTCAACTTTCTCACGTTTGTTCTTCTGCGTGCTGTTTTTCATTGTTGGTGGACCATTTGGCTAGTAAATAGACGAGTAAGTGTTGTATATTTATTGTTTTTATGTTATGATAGTGTTTGAATTAGGGTTAGGTTAACAAAAGTGAATAAAAATGTGGTTAACGTGAATTTTTTCGTAATTTTAGGTAACAAAACCTAAGTTTTTTGTGATTTATTAAAAGTATTAGATATGAAACTTTACATTTTTTTTGATTTGGTATTTAAAGTTAGTTATTGCTAATATATTATGAAGTTAAAGTGTTTAAAAATTGTAAAATGATAAAAAAATTTGAGATACATATAATTGACACTTGTTTATTTCAAAACTAAACCGTAATGTATAGTATCAAATAAAGTATACGTTGTTTACTATAACATGAGATCAAAATAACGTTTCAATGTGGATATGTATGACTTGATTTACCATTTTACAGCCTATTGTGAGGCTGTTTGATACACTATTAAAAATAGAAAAATACTGAAAATGAAGTTGATACAACAATATAAGATAAAAAATATATACGATGTAAGCAAGAATGTACATACAGAAGTTTAAATACCCATTCGAACTACTATAACATGACAAGGATAAGATTAATGTGCAAAGATATTAAATGTACAAATGAAAAAGTATTAGGTTCTTCAAATAATTTCGTGCCCCCTTTGAAAGCAAATCTTCGGAGTTAGGGGCCCAGAACTAATTGAACGACCCAATATATACAAAAAAATAAATCTAAACCCATTTGACAGTAGTGCTTTCAGTCGGCAATGTGAGCACCAAAGATGGTACAGAAGTTGTCCTACTAGTCCCAACCGATTTCTGATGTGCTAACCAAACATAGCTCTCTCGTAAAAGTTTCTGTCGGTTTTGTCGTTTCATTTCTTTGGCTACAATCTTACCCATCCACCAATGGATTACTGTGGCCAAAAAGGCCAAGACACAAGTTCCAATTCGAACCTTTTCAATTAAAATGGCATTCATTACTGTAGTTTTGTGGATGCGTTTAGTGTCGGCAGTCAACATATAAATGTAGAATACGTAGCCGGAGAAGAGGATCGTTGTTAGGAATTTCTGAAAAAGTTTTTTGTTATTGTAAAATACGAGTTATGTAATATTGATGCCAAAAAAGATTAGAAAATTTGAAAAATTATTTTAAAGGGAAGATAAGGATTTTTTTAATTATTAATTTCTTAAAGGTTGATTATTATCCTTTTATGAGCAACACTTCCCCTTTTTGACCTTGGTTAGTGATTGTTTGTTCCGTTCGTTCGAAAAACACCCTCACCCCACCCTCAGGCTGTTATTTTTTAAAATTAATCAAAATTAGCCCTTTCCCAAAAAAACCATCCAATTTCAAAATTTTTACACATTTCAAAAAAGTCTTGTCACAAAGTTGTATAGCTCATGATACGACAAATTAATTTAGTTTAAACTTGAAGTGAAACGTTGAGTTTGACAGGTCAACTTGTTATTCGATGATTTATTACCTATTTTCATGAGAATTTTACGAAAACAAAAATAAAACTTTGCTTGTACTACGCCAGCCAACTAAAGACCAATGATATTGTAGTAGTCAACAAGGTTTTGGAAGTAAAACTTTGATTTGAAAAGGGAAGAATAATGTTTTCTTTATAAAATTTACAGCGCTTTTCTTATTTTAGTTTAGTTTTTGCATTAAAGTTACAGTACTCATATGTCAGCGCGGTCCCTTTCAATTCTGCTTCGACCCCGCTAACATGTAAGCCCGGTCAGGAGTCATGCCAAGGGCCAGACCCTTTCAGGACTACTTAGAAAAAGTTTTTTTTTTACTTGAATACTGTAAAAATAATGACTTACCATGCAAAAGACGTGTATTTGAAATATTTTCGGTTTTTTCAATTTGATGCCAATGATGATCAAAGTGTAACATAGTGAAAAAATGATCAATGGTAGAATCAAAATGTATTCTTTCGTCTGGATGTAGAAAGTGGTGAAGATGGAACATAGAGTTAGTCCAACTATTGGCACTGCGTTGATTAGGCGCTGGAATTGACAATTTTAAATTTAAAAATTTTTTTTAAAAATATAACAAATAAATTTTAAAAAAATTCAAAGTAAAATACTTTTTTTAATTTATTAAAAAAAGGATCATAAAATAAAAAAATTCAAAAAACTTTAAAAATCTGAGAAAAAAGATGTCGTATTTTACCAAAACTTACTTCCGTCTGAACCCCAAACACCTCGAATTCTTTGTTGTTCATCATGTGATATTCGTGTGCTCTCAACTTGATCAAATGAATAGTTTTCTGAAAAACAAGGAATCTTAAAGGCGTTCAATTCAAACGTTGAAAAATTAACGGTTAATCAAAACGGTAAATTCATCACAGTAAAAGTACATAGCAATACAAAAGAGAGTAGTAAAGAGGTGTATATGTTCAAACTTTAACTTAAACGTAGTCGAAATGACGTTTTTTCGGTTCTTTATACGATATACTAAAAATTGTAGATTTAAAATTATTTAGATAAATAGGTAATATTAGAGAACAATGCGTTATATTCAAGAAAAGACATAAGATTCTAATCAAAAAAATTTTCTTAATATAGAGTATCATATAAAAATTTAAAAAGCTTGGTGATACCATCTTTCTATCTGTCATTACCAATCAGTCTGGATCATACAGTCAAATCTCTTTACTATGACGACTGGACCAAAGTGCCATTATAACCAGGATGGCACACTATCCAGGCAAGTTTTGATAAAAGTTCTATTACAATGGACGGTCAAATGGCTGTTATTATAAAGAGGGTGTCATACTATTGAAGGTTGTAATAAAAAAGTTCCACTGTGCTAAATATAACAATATAAACTTAAAGTTTTTGAAATTTCAGCCTAGAAACAGTGACATAATAAGAATCACCAAAACTATAAAATCATAACCAACACTGTCTTTCATCATATTCCCACGCCCTCAAGATCATACCCAAAGCTTTCCCATGACACATGACCAAACCTACAATCAACAGGAAATCATCGAACAAATCATCATTGTTTGTCCTAAATCGATAAGTTATCTGTACGGTAGAGTGATGAATGATAACTGAACAAACGTTTTTTGATAAAATTCGTGAAGGTCAGTGCGGGTGGAAACAAGAATCTTTTCGAAAACTTTGCGGTTTACATCAACAATAAGTGACAATGAGTCAGCGGAAGGAAGGTGTTCGAAATACATAATGTATATGTTATAGTTTAGAAGTTGTCACAATAAGGTTCGTAGGGTGTGAACACATGTTTCATAGTTTAAGATTGTAATATGTACAAATTAGTCATAGTTATGTTAACGTATTGATATAATATTAAATTATTTAACATCCCTACCCTACCCTACCCTACCCTACCGAACACTTACCACTCCTAGTTAACCTATCCGTACATGCCACGTGTAACACAATTTTTAAAAACCAGCCATATCAAAAGTAGTAACAAGCCCTACTAATTTAGACTTTTAAAGATAACGAGACAAAAAGATCATACGAAATCATTAGTCTTGTGACGGGTGATGTATGCCGCTTATCAGTAGCCACAAGTCCTCAACCTTGTCGCTTTATATAGTAGACAGCTAAGGTTAAAATATGATGTTGTTGTAGGTGGTTGAGTTATTACGATCATTAAAAATGTTAATAAACAGTGGGGAAGGGGTGATATAGAACGCGTGGTTACTGTAAATTTTAAAAATAAAAAATGTACACTTAAAATTTTTTGATTTAGATTTTTTTAAATGTAAAAGTTAGGTTTTATATCGCAAAAATTTAAAAAAAAACTTCAATAAAATTATGTTATACTAAAAGTACATTACTTACAAAAGTACAAATGATATAAAAAACCAAAATAATAGGTAAAACAGCTCAGTAATGTAACGATAATCCGCCACGGTTCAACTGCCTAAAACCTACCATTAATTTCCACCCGCACCTTCACACCCACGCCCCCACTTTTTACAATGAATTCTTTTAAAATGGACAAACATGATTGATTCACAAGAGTAAAACTATGTAATGTCAGTTACTTTGCAAGCGCTCCTTTTATAGTAAAATGTCTGAATAGGATAATATAGATTAATAAGAACTAGACCAAGACTTTATTGGATATAAAAAACAGTTTTTGTATAATAAACGTAGAGAGTATGAACAATATACAAGTTTGATGAATATTAAAACAAAGACACAAGTTTGTTAAATTGTTAGTCAATCAAAACATACGACGAATGCCGTTAATGTTACATCAAGAAATATCACAAACAAATAACCAAACATCGTTGATTAAAAACTTACAACTAGATTTAGGAAAAGTATACAAACAAATCAACAAAACATAATTATCAGTTCCTTTTACCAAGATAAAAAGTAAAATATTAAAATTTTGATATTCGAAAAACTTAAAACAGTTCAATCTTTATACTTTCAAACGCCCTTTTAAGCGATGGTAACATGACTTGTCAAAAATTATTCTCAACTACGGCCTCAGGGACATTGATTTTGGTCAAGCCCTCCTGCCAGGCCTAGTAAGTCTTCTGTTAGGTCTAATGATAAGTCATGATGTAGATAGCGATAGCGATAGTTGTTTTGTATGATTTTTTGAACTTATTTAGTTTCGTATAATTTAAATAAAAAATAAAACAACCTCTAGAAAACTTTGCATTCTGCGAGACCTAGCAACAACTTTAATAAATCATTTTCTTAAAACTTAAAAGATAAAAAACCTCAACCAATTTTCTCAAAATAAAGCATTTTTCTGACGGTTGACTACATTTTCAATAGAAGAAGGCGTCAAAACCACGTTTCTTAATTGTAAGTACAAAGTCAATGTAATATTAATGTGTATTGGAGTTTTATTTCATGTTTTGACAACAATAATACTGCTCGCAATGTGATAAATCTTCTATTTTTAATTAAGCACAATTTTAAGACTACTATACTATCACTGGCTTTGTACTGTTATATTTTAAGTACCATCAACATAGACAAGTGTAGTACCAATATATTACATAAGTGTCATCTTGAACATAGCGAGGAGATTTGGCAGCACAAGTGTAGTTTGGCTGAGTAATATGTAAATAATGGTACAAATTTTTTGTAAGTTTACGTTACCTACAATATTTTTAAGCTATTCTAAACTTACATTTATATTTACATGACGACATACGAAATAATAAAAATCTGAAAATACGTAGCAATGCCCTTTTTTACTGTGATAACTTACAACACAAATCACATTTTTCAGTACAAACACCCAAACAAGTTTTGAATATTGTGACTTACAACTGCATTTAAATTACCTAATAATATTGCCAAAATATTTGTTAGACTGGAATTTTCTAACATATTATGATGACGCCTAATGTCATTCGCATGAATGATTAATAAAGGTAACATGCCCTATCAATAATGGCTTTTTAATCAAATTGCCACTAATAAATGAACTGTGATGTTGATGTTTTGTACAAAATAGTGCTACGACCTGTATTTACAGTGTAACCAAATTTATATATTACAATACATGTATTTGGCTGCAGTAAAAACGTACAGCACGTGCTGTTACGCTTTTTCATATTAGTTACCCAATTATCTTTCTTTATTTTATTAGGTTCTTCAAGTAATTCTAGATCCATTTACCCCCAAACTTGTTTTGAGGAGAATTATTTGAATAACCTAATATGTTAACCATTCTCATCACCTTTCCTTATTTTAGTTTTAACATTGGTTTGTTATGTTACAAAGTTCTTTTGATCTTATTTTTAAATTTGTACTATTCTTTTCTTCAAAATGTCAATTGTGTCTAGAGTATATATATAAAAAACCACCAAATGTCGTTTGGTGAAAAAAAGATACTTGACTGACTTTGAACAATGAGTCTTTACTACAATTTTCAAGTCCTCAAACGTGTTTTTTTAGCGTACTACCTAACACCGTAACTATTTTAGTAGCATCTGAAAGATCGGTATGAACGTCATATTGTGGTCTCTGCCCTACTTTTGACTAAAATTGGGCAATGTATGACACCGTACCCAAAATTTTTTTAAAAGTTTACTTCTATATGGATTACTAAAAGCTCAGAAGTCAACTTGTGTACCTAAGTTAAGTTTTTTGTCAGCCTCCCCTTGCCAGCTTTAAAATTGTGTTTTATTTCAAAATCAGTCACTTAACGCTGTTCAAGTTGACATTACTATAACACTGTTCCACAGTAGTATAATAATTTTAAATTGTTCGTTATACGAGATTTTCGTTATACAGAAGTTTCACTGTATTTTTATATACCTCCATAGTAAAGTTGAAAGATTACTTTTAATCGTCACAAAGTTTCGACTAGACCTTAACGGAGACCCAGAAGGCCCGGCCTCTTTACAAGTCTAGTTTAAACCATTTTTTAAACATTCAAATTCGTAATTCAATGACATTGTGAGTAATTATGAGACTTTTCCGTGTTTATTGCGGCAATAAATGTGCATTTATTTTATCGTATCACGCGTTATCGTGAAGGTAAACAGTAGGATTATATTTGTATTGTTTTACATCGTGCAGTAAAAAATTGTCTTTGACTGAACTATAGTTCCTTGGTCTCTTAGTATATTGCAATATATATTTTAATTTGTTATTGTAACACTTATTGTCCATAACGAACTAATAGGTTGTTCAAGTAATTTTGTGCCTCTTAAATTTTAAAAGTTGCTTTGAGAGGAAGCACAGAATTATTTGAACAACATAATAGCTATCTTTTAGAAACTACATAAGGGCGATGAATTGTAAAACATTGTGGTACAAAATTTATCACTACTTATCAACTTGTACTTGCAAAATTTTACTGCGAATAAATACATTTTCTGTACAAAACGTGTTACTACTTCTAACATCACATGTTTCAGTTGTGTGTTCATATTAATTTGAATTTTTTTTAAAAGTAAATTTTTAGGATGAAAATACCGTGGACTCAAATCAGTACCACGTTGAATACGCTTGACTGTATTGTAGTGTTCTTTCACGTATTTTACACTGTTTACTTTTATCGTTGTTTATGTAAAACGAAGTTAATTCATCCCAACTTAAAAATTGCTATGGTGAGCTGATTTTTTATTTTTATTTTTTTAATTTGTAAGTACATACAATTTCAAGAACTATAATATCTTAGCCATTTTCAGGTTCTAAACCCAGCGCTAGCCGAAATCGGAAGCCTAGCCCAAAACATGTCATCGTACCTATGTTTCCTCGGCTTTCCCGACAGTTTCATCGACTTCTTCATGCCATTATTCTCATTCATCCACATTTTCTTCCAAACCAGTGTAGGTTTGGTCTGCGTGGAACTATTTTTGGAACGATTGTACGCCACCGTGCGACCCGAAGACTACGAGAATATTGACTCACACCGTTTCGGCACACTGTGCATAATTAGCACGCTGATATATGGAGTGTTTTTCACAGTGTCAGGTATATACAATTACTATGTGAATCCGTATCATATGTTTATACTACCAGATCAAGCCCTATTACTGTATGCTCTGCCAGTTGTCGTTTGTTTTTGTTGGTTTTCATTTGCATTTGTTACCATACCTGCGATTATTGGTGTGATAATCATGGTCAGGTATAACAGTAACAAGCTGAAAAAGAGAGGGCATGGGACATTGACTACAAGATATCAATACCAAGAGAATGTGAATGGACTGAAAGTGGTGTTGAATATGTTTTTGACTATTATTGTATGTGCCTCGGTAGGAGTTGGATCGGCGATGCTTTTGTTTTGGGATATTATGACACATAGAGTTTATATGCCCAAACTTCATGGCTTAATGAGGGTAAGTTTTCTTATTTTAAGCCTAAACTTTAGTCTTCATTCTTTATTTTTAAAGACAAAGGTGACCAGGGTAAAACAAAGTGTAAATTTATCATATTTTGCTTCAGATTTGCCAATTTGACCTCACAATAGCATCAGTAGCAACTACGACAATTGCTCTTTTAAGTCACCCAGCTTTACGACAAATTGTGAAACAAGACCTTACAGTATTCAGTAAAAGAAAACAAGCCGCAAAAGTAAAACCATATCACATGGAATTAAAAAAAGACGTAGAAATGGAAACACAAGTCTACTTTAATCAACTACAAGAAAGTTGGATCTAATTTTTCTGGTTAAAATACAAAAAGACGGTCAAAAAGCTCAAAAGGCATACCAAATCGAGGTTAATATGGCTGTTTTCATCGTTATATGGATTTTCGCAGCATAATTTTCAAAAAAAAGTCGTTTTTGAAATTGAAAAAAACTCGAAAACTTCATCTTTAAAAAACCCCAAATTTTCAAAAAACTCATTATTGTTTGTACCCCCAACCGACCGGTCGGTCCAAAAATGGCCGACGCGCGAAAACCCTCAAAAGAAGAGCCGAAGAAAGATAAACAGCCAAAGCTAGGATTCTGCAAGAAGGTAACCAGCTCGTTGTTAGAAGACAAAGACCTCACGGCCACGATAACCAAGACTGAGAAACGTGCCATTTTGGTTTCGAGTGCGCTGATTGTGCTTCGAATTGACGAAAAGTCGAATATGGCCAATGTTATTGAAATCGGAGATTACATAACGCAAGTCAACGGGGTTAGGATCACATCGAAAGAGCATTTTTACAAGGAAATCAAGGGAGTGCTGGCTAAAGGAAGTCCGGAGGTAAGGATTCATGATATTTCAATTTGAAAAATTAAATTTTTTAAACTTTTTTTTCAAAAAATTATTGTTTTTACCACTAATTTTATAACCTTCACAGTTTAGTTTTAAAAATCGGGTTGTCACCAATATGTTATAATAGATATTTTACTTCCAGACCATCACATTTCACATACGACGCCCGAAGTGGATGATAAAGACAACAAGTCACGGCTTTGAGCAAGTTGCGGAAGGTTATGACTACTATACAAGTCTGATGGTGTTGTTACCTGGCCATGTCATTGGAATGAACATAAGGGCATATCAAAACAGAGTGAGCTTTAACATAAATTTAAGGATTTTTGGTTTATTTTTGGCATTAAAAAATCGAAAAATTTATTTTTTGCGGCCTCATGTATTTGAATCCTAATTTTTGTAGGTATACGTATCAAGTGTTCAACCCCGTTCCCTAGCCGCCAGAAGCATTCGTATTGGTGATTGTATCGCAGGCGTTGATCAAACCCCGTGTTTATCAGTGAAGGACTGTCTCAACATGATGGATTTCATAATGAAGAAAGACAAAGCAGTCACGTTACACTTGGAACGACCTGTATCTCCAGAAGCCGTAGAAGTCGTGAAAGCAGCTTTGAGAGCAAGGAAGAACAATATGGCAGACCACCTACTGGCTCCAGATGCCTGTGAGATTGGGCGGCAACAAGCTGAGAAGATTAGAGCTGGCAACCTTCCCAAGCCCAAATTGATTATGAAGAAGCCAAACAAAAAGCCTGCGGCTGGAGATTCTGTTAAGAGGTAGATACTATAGTATACTATGATATAGTACTATCCAATTTTTTCCGTTCTTAAGGTTGTAAAATGAGCATCTGCAGACTTTAAGATGACTATTTATTTAGATTTCTTCCTCTTACTATAAAATCAAAAAGTCTTGTCGCTGGTACCGTGCAAAACTATAAAAATTGGCGACAAAACTTTTTTCAACCTTAATATAAGCACGAGTAAGCCTAATAACCAAGACTTCGATTTCAGACATGTCAAAGTAGAAGAAACGGCATCACAAATCAAAATCGACAGTGATCCATTCAACCCCATCTTTCTCGCTAGTCTACCACAAAACAGAGGAGAACCATCACAGCCGGCTAAATCAGGAAGATCAGGAGACGTCGGCGGAATTGGAAACTTTGATAAGCAATAAACACTTGTTCATATTAGGTCTTATTTTTCAATAAAAAGTACTACTTGTAACAGAAAGTTTATTAGAGAGCCACTAAAGTCTTGTCGTTGATTTCCACGGTATTAAACGCTAAAAAACGACAAAACTTTTTTAAGCTTTTCAAATGAGAATTTTGAATTGATTTTCATAATGAATGTTAGATATAGACCTAAAACTATATTTATAACCCTAAAACTGTAAAATTTTCCGTCAAATAATTTTTCAAAATCCAAAATTTAAAAAAATCATTTTCGTTTCTAAATCAAAAAATTTCAAACCAAAAAACCGATTTCAAACCGTTTCCTTCATTTCCCTTCTACCACTTCGTTACCAACCAGTCGGTTCGAGCAACAAAATCAGTGTCAACAATGAGTCGAGAATCCCGATCGACGATATCGAAGACAACAGACGCCAAGTCGACCCAGACCCGAACCACCACGGATACCAAGACAATAGGAAAGGAAGAGAAGAAGCCCTCGTTTGGATATGGTACCAAAGCGCCAAAGTTGTTCGAAGAGAAGGTGGTACAGGCGACGTTGGCCAAAGCTGATAGTCGAGCTGTGATTGTGTCCAGCTCGTTATTGGTACTTAAAGTAGAAAAGGATTCACCGCTGGCTAAGATGCTCGACATCGGAGACTATATATTTCAAATCAATAATGTGAATTTGGAATCGAAAGGTGACTTTTATATGGCAATCAAGAAGGCGTTCAAGGAAAGCAGCGCGCCGGTAAGTTTTGTTCAAAGATGTTTGTAAAAAATTGTAAAAATAAATTTTAAAATTCAAAATTTTTAACTAGAAACATTTTTAATATCTTCACTATCCTATATGTAGTTGTAATTTAACTTTACTGCCAATAACAGTCAAAAAACCTACGATTGCGCAGCCAAAATCGATTTTCTTCCCGTTTTTTCTTAAATTTTCAAAAACTCATAACTTTTTTAAAAAGCAAGGCCCAACTCTAAAATTTTCACCACTTATGTAAAAGTTTATGCTTCACAAAACCATCACTTCAATAGTTTTTAAAAATTAAAATTTTTCAGACAATCAACTTTGGAGTGCGCCGACCACGATGGTCTTCGAAGCAAAGTTCCACAAACTATGAACGAGCTACAGGATACGAATACCTGGCGAATGCACTAGTCACGCTTCCTGGATATAGTACTGGAATGAGTATTCGAGCTTATCATGGCAAAGTGAGTAAATTTATTTTTACAAGTTTTAGTCTTGTCAGAAATTCATTAAAAATGCATTTTTATCTAACTTTTTTAGAGCAAAACTGCTTGGAAATGCCTTTTTAAGCAAATTTTGAACATGCCATTCTTTTTACATCAAAAATATAGGTTTTCTATAGTTTACTAGATGTATTGTATCATAACACGTCTCAAAACCATCACTTTCCAGGTATTTGTAAACAAAGTAGAGCCCGGATCCCTAGCCGCCAGAAGTATTCGAATTGGAGACTGTATCACAGCCGTAGATGACACCGCCTGTACTACAGTAGTACAATGTATGAGTGTGCTACAAACAGCTTTGAAACGAGACAGAATGGCAGTTTTATTCATCGAACGTCCCACAACTCAAACAGCGATGCAGGTAGTGAAAGCGGCGTTGATAGCAAAGAAAAACAATCCGTTCGAGAACAAAGTGGCACCAGATGCTAAAGAGATTGCACAGCGTCAAGTTGAGAAGATTAGGTCTGGAAATCTGAAGAAAGCAAAACCGATTTACAAAAAACAAGATAGGACTAGTCAAATGGGAAGTGCTGTAAAGTAAGTACTAGTTTTTCGTTTTTTTGAGAATTAAAACTCAAAAATATGTTTTTCATGTCATACTAGCTTTCCGAAATATTATGCTTACATATAAACCCAATATTTCAAAATGTTTACCTTGTATAATATTAGGTTGAATCAAAAGTAGCGGGACACTTTTAGTTAAAAAATAAACGAAAATTGTCCCGCTACTTTTGGTTCAACCTAATATTAGTAAAAATCTTAACAATTTTAAAATTGGCACTAAAATTAAAACAAAAGTAATTTTTTTTTACAGATTCCAAGCCCATATCAGTGCGTCATCAAAGAAAGTTTGTGTTGGAGCGGATCCTTTCAACCCCATGTACATGGCAGCACAACAAAAACCCAGTCCCATGCCAACTTCAAAGCTAGCCGGCAGTGGTAGTGTCGGAGGTATCGGAAGTTTTGACTGATCAAACTTACTCTACGACGAAGCCTGTAACATCATCACCTGTCGTCACGTTGTGATTCAATCGTGCCATCATAACATTGTAATTCAGAAACTAGGATTTTGGTCGTATAAACTTTTACAAATTTTTTGAATTTTTTACCCTCCGGGAATGAGTCGCATTCAAAAATTTAAAATTTATTTTGTATAAAGTATTGCTTGTACAGAGATTATTGCTTTTTACAACGTTTTGTATGTAACACTATATAAAAATATCAGACCAACACCATGAGATCATAACAATAGTAACATGTAGTATAAAAAACCAAAATTTTCTAATCTAAAAACAGGATGATAATGAAAAAACCTCGACAATATTACAATACCTTTCTGTCTCCTACAACAAAAAAAGCATACAATAATTTTCCTTACATGATATCAACGCCTATCAGTCGCAGAGTAATTACTAGAGCCGTGACTTAAAAAACCATGACAATACTGACTAAGCACAACCTTTCCTCCTACAGAATTACCGTGATACAGAGAAGAGATGCCAACAAAGATACCTACTGATAGACAACAAGAACACCTATTGATATTACAGTACCAGATAAAATCTTCAACTAGACTAAGTTCAACAGTACCAGCTAGAAACTTCAATTTGACTAATGTTCAATATCAGTAGCTCGCGCATCTTCTGGTATTGCATCAGTAACAACATCGTCATCATCATGATGATCAACTTCAACACGACCACTTATCAGATCTTCATCATACCCATCCAACCAGTAAGTTAACAGTGTTCCCACGCCCTGAATTTCGATAGTTTTAAATTTTCCTACTTTCATACTTGTGTATTTTACATTGTTTTCCAATTTAAAAACAAAAAGTTGTTAACTTACATCTAACTTGACACCACCTCTGGGTGTTGTTCTGAATTCAGGGTACCGTTCTGTCAAAAGTTGCTGGCTCTTTAAGGTCATTTGAATTTTATCCTGTTGTCCGGAATTCTCCATCTTTGCTGCTAATGTTACCTGAAATTCAAGTAAAATAAAAATAATTTTTTTTTGTCTAAAATACCATTTTTTAAAAATTTTACTGTAAAATCTTAAAACAGAAAAAAAACTTTTAGTTTCAACAATTCTTACCGTTCCACCAAACACACAATACCGTGGAGCTGTCACACCCACCACTCCAGTGAAAACACTTCCTGAATTGAAACCCCAACGACAGTGGAGATGTTGCCCCGGCCTATGTGGGATTTCGTAGCCGAATAGGAACTGAAAGTACGTTTTTAATGTAAAACAAGGTTAATATTACACTAGCTATTATTTTTTTCCCCTGAAATCCTATAAAAGCTATTAAAATTGTTATATTTTTTCATAATTTCAGCAAAAAATTTCAAAATCAAATCAGAAATTTTAAGTTTTGTCCAAAAAATGTATCATCTCATTCTATTTTTTTCCTTGCCATTTAATTTTCCACAATTCCTAAAACAAAATCATCACTCAACCCACCTGTCTCTGTTTGATCGCAGTATACGCAATCTCCCTGACATGTTCATTCCTCAGCTTCTCTGGCACTCCAGATGCCACCATATAGGCATCGCCAATAGTCTCTACCTTATAACATTTATGTTGTCCAATTACATTGTCAAAAGCTGTGAACATTCCATTCAACAGGTTTACAACTTCCATCGGCTGACTTTGTGAACACAACGATGTAAAACCAACAATATCCGAGTACATGATCGTCGCTGCTTTGTACAGTTTGGGTGCTACACTCTTGCCCAACTTTAGTTCTGTGATTACTGAGCGTGGTAGCAATTCTTGAAGAATTTCGTCTGATCTCTGTTGTTCGATTTGAAGTTGTCCTGTTCGTTCACTGACCAAATTCTCCAAATTATTCGTGTAATTTTCAGTGTTTTTCATCATTTGATCTACCAAAGAGCCGGGCCTAAAATAAGGACAATATAAATAAATAGACAAAGCTTTCAAAGTTCTTTTATAAAAAATAGGTATTCTATAGACAAATTTTAGCTACAACTTAGAGTTAAATGTTCTCTAGAACCTTCATTTTTCAAAAATATTATCCATAATTCCAAAAAAATCACTAAAATTTAGGTTTAAACTTTAAATTCCTCAAAACCCACGTTTTTAATGTAGCATCAGTAATCTTCCTGCACATATTAGCATCAGGCCTTTGTTCTCCTTTATTATTGAAACATTTCTTCATTAGATTCACCAGATCCGGATGGATATCAACATCAGATGGGAAAGTTGGACAATCTGGTAGTTTTGCCTCCGCCGCTTCGTTGAAAATCCCCAATTCATCATCAGCGTCAGCTATCGTGTCCACTTCGTCCTCCAAGTCCACAATCTTCCTATTGTACAATATCTCATGTAATATACAAGCAAACGCGTATATATCATGAGATTGACCTTCTTTTACTGGGTACTCCAAGTCTTCTGGTTTGTTCTTCTGAACTGCCAGCTTTATCGCTCTTCGTGCTTCTGGAGAATAGTAATGTAGCTCTGAATTTGGAATCATTGGGGCTCCATTTCGACCAGCTAACATTCCAGTGTTTCGCCATCGATGTAACATACGAGGTAGACCGAAGCCGGAGATTTTTAAAATCCAATGAGAATCGATTAAACATTGCTCTGCTGTTAGACCTCCGTGATAGCCTATTACTGATGAATGAATGTAGTCTAAGCCCTAAAAAATTTTTATATATTGCTGCCTTATAAAGATTGCCCGACCAGGTATACCAATGTAAACCACAATTTATAACGTTTACTCTAAAAATCAAGCAAAATAGCAAAAAATCACAAACTTACCCTAATAATATCCCTAACAAAAGCCGACTGAAAATCTCGATCAAACTTCGGTAAATGACCGGCGTTACTGTTAGCTATGATATCTGTTACAGTACCACGTAGACAGTGTTTCCAAACCACATAAAAGTCAGATGGACGATCCATACTCAGACCAATAAAAGTGTTTACATTGTCATGCATTATTTGCTTCATCTGAAACACGATTTACATCAACTATATTAGCAAGGTTACAAAATGACAATAAGTAAAGTAAACATATAAAATTAATATAGAAAGCAATAAAACGAAACTTCGTATTTTACAAATCTTCACCTTGAGGTAAACTGCCCTTAATTTGATAGTTTTAAGCTCATTTCCTCTCAAAAACCTACCTGAAACAGCATGTGCATGTCCCTCTTGTCAAACATGATCTTTTCCTTCAACTTGTACCCCTCAACAATAACAAATGCTTGCCCAACTGACCCAACGTGCCGTTCTCTGCCAGCATTTATCGTTTGTTCATCTTCAAACGGATTTCCATTCTCTCCTCGAGCCGAACTGACACTGTGAATCTCCAAATCTTCGAATTTCTAAAAACAAAACACTAGAAAAGATACTGTAACTTACCGAAACGGACTGTCGAGTATACGGTATGTCTAAAAAAGTTATGCTGGATGATTGCACGGCCCACGGCATTCGTGCTGTTTCTCCGGTTTTCCTGAAATGTCAGTTTTTTTTAAAAATAATGTGGAAATTTTAAATTTTGCGTTAAATTATTAAAATTTAAAAAACTAAAACTGGGTTAAATAAACTTTGTAAACTCCAAATTTAAAATGGCTAAATTTAAAAATAGCTGACATATATGTTTATCTATTTTAAATCCAAATAATAAAGAAAAAAATTATTTTACATTGTTTAACAACCTATAACAACATAAATCATATTTTAAAGTAAAAAATAGTCCTTACATTCTCCTAACACACAAGAATCCCATGAATGCACAGCAAATCGCAGTCATAATAGCTATTAAAATTAAAATAGTTCCACGTTGGTCACAATCTTTGCCATCAAACCCACATGATGGCATATCTGGTGGTAACAGATTCAATAAATAACGTCGTTCTTCTAGTAAATCCACGTCCTGAAACAGTAAAACTATAACACAAAACATAATATTAGGTTGTTCAAATCATCATGGGCCTCCAAAGCCCAAAAATTTGCCTTAAAAAAAGGTACAGAATTATTTGAACAACCTAATATAATAATAAATTTCAATCATTTTAGTACCAAAATTCAGATTCTGAAATCAAAACGACACTTATAACATAAAAAAATAAAACACGCCATTCTTTTTGCATCAAAAATTTTTTTCAATTTACAATTTAGACTTTTGTACCTAAAAATCTCTCAAAAACCTTTTTATTACATACCAACTTAAAACAATCCATGTCGTCAGTAACAACAACACTGCCATCAACATTGTCTTCGTTCGTTGCACAAGCATGAAGTAGTTGAATTGTCATAATTTCAGTCATCCTTGGCTTCGTAGGATTGTCCGTTTCATTGGCAACCATATAAACTTTAAATGGCCTTAACCTCGTCCCTTTACTGTTAAAGACGATGGGTCCAAATGGGCCTGAAACAAATTTTTTATCTTTTAGATAATAATTTTAGACTTAGAATTAAGCTGGTCTTAATAAGTTTCTTTGTAAAATACGTATAGATTTATGGTGAAATATATAAACCACATATTATTATATACGTGCTTTAAAAATACAAAACTAAATCCTTACCAGTAATATTAAAGTCATCCAATAAATCACCAGTGACTGAAGCATTGGCATAACTGTTCGGACCTTTTTCCTTCAAACCTTTATCCAAAAGTGCTGAATAGGTATAAATGGCCTCGTAGAATCGTAGTTGAACATTTATGCTTTGCTAAAACAATGAAACATTTTACGATATTATTCATTGCTCAAACAATTTTGAAATTTCAAGTTAATTTTTTGGCTTTAAAAGTTTAACTTTGAAAAGAGGATTACCTGATCACCACTGAGACCTGCTTCTGTACTAAAAGCCTGTTCAAGTTCCTTTTGATTATAGTCATTTACTATCTGAAAAACAAAAAAATCAGTTTCATTAAACATGCAAAATCTATATTAAAGAATTTATCTTAATGTTATTAAAAATTCAAAAAGTAATAGTAAATCTTAAAAAAAATATTACTCTTGCTTAAAATGACTTGTTCACATCGTTTTTATCATAATATGAAATGAGTCGTACTCATCATAACGTAATGTAGATCAACCTTAAAAAACCTTACAATTAAAGCCTGTTCGAACCAGCCAAAGATGGTAGTATTGACATTTCCATTCACCATCCATGGCAATGATACTGGATCGGTTTGCAGTACGATGATAACAGCAAACTCTTCCCTGGCCAAAGTCATTTCATTGAACGCCTTCATGAAGTCCATGTAATTAGCCAGATCATTTCCAAGAATCGGAAACAAGACTAAAACAATATTGTAGAAAACTGCTTCAAAATTTCAAAAATTTTAAATTTACTGCCAATATATTAACTGAAAATGTCGTAAGTAAGGTTTAAAACTAACATATTAAGTTGTTCACATAATTCTGTGCCTCTTAACCTCGAAAGTTTTCTTTGAGTAGAGGCACAGAGTGTTTTGAACAACCTAATATTTCAAAAACTCAAAATTTCCAAGATTACTTCTTGATTTGGTCGTAAGTTGTTCAACATTCAGCGCCATTGTTGGTGTGTGAAGAAACTCTGGCGTAATGTCATTTTCATATTGTATATCTGCTCCATTATCAACCAACGTTCGCTTGAGTTCAGCTACAAACGGATGAAGATTCTCGTAATGACCAAACTTCGAAGAAAATGAACCATAACATAAGGAACATGACACTACTCCAATCTAAAACAATATTAATTGTATAAATTAGTTGTTTGCTTGGCTAAAATAACATTCTTCACTAGTTCAAAACTTTAATAGAAGCCTTTTTTTCATAAAAGTTTATGAAATACCTTCAACAACATCGCAATAAAACAAAACCAAACGATTTCCGTATTATTCAGCCTATATCAATATAAGCAGCCAAATTTACCTTGAACCAATCCAACATCTGCATCATAGCAATCGCATTCAACCCAGTATTCTCGGCAGAATCTGGAGAAACGTTGATTACGAATGTCTCGTCTGGAGGCGCTCGTACATCCCGCCAAAAGTCCATCTGAATCATGTTCATACCCACTGAACTTCTGGCCATTATGTCTATTTCTAAAAATATAAATTTTAGGTATTGAAGATGTTGTTTTGCATCTTTTTGACATTTTATACCCATATCTATAGCAATTTATGAAAAATCGTAAGTTTAGGTAACAAAAGCAATAATTTAGGTAACAGTTAAAAGCTTTTGTTACCTAAAACAGAAAAATCTTCAAAACAAAATTTAGTAACTTTAAAACGCTTTAATATCTTCATATAGGTATTTTATAATTCATTTTCTGACAATCTCATGCCTAAAATACAGAAAAACGATCAAATGTTACCTGTATCACACATTGGCCCAAACAGAACATTATATTTCTTGCCATTTGTGTAATAATCGTTTAAAATGCCAGCAGCTATAGGTGCTGAGCCTTGTTCTTGACTACACGAACCTTCTTCAACAACATTTTTCCTGAAAACATTTATTTTATTTGTGTTTTTGTTGAATAAAGTGGAAAGAGACAAGTTATACGAGGGAGCTAGCTGCGTGTAGGTAAGACAAAATTGAGGTTTACAAAAAAAATTTCACCATTTCTCTGTTCGAGATAATGAACGTATAGATTTAAAATATATTTTAATTTTTTTGCACTTTTACCGCAGCTTGGATTACTGTAACATAACCTTTTTTGACTTACTGTAACGAAAAACTCTTAAGAAGACCATTTTGTTGAATTTTCGATATGCAAAAGTCGATATAACCTGAAGCGGAAGGAATTACAGCCGAATCCAGGTAGAAAGCACTCTGGATTTGTACTTGAGCTTGTGTTTTGAGCAATAACAATGTAAGAATGGGGATTAGGGACCGCCATGGCGGCCTGCCGCTGTGTGGTGCCAATGCGGATGCAATTTTTGGTGTCGCGTATTCCTTCTGCAAATAGGTTTTGTAACATGAAAAAACTTTACTAAAGAGTAAAAAAGCTAGTTCCAATAACTTTATGATGGGAATCGCGATAGAGTAAAGTAAATCTATGTTAACATTGAAATATTGTAGCATATGAATCCTTGACTTCAAACTTTTTATATAGGAAGATCATGTACTACCCCTCCCGAAAAGTACTAAATCAGCCAATTGCGAAAAAATCGCGATTAAAAAATATTGTTTTTAACTTTCAGCCAAATTGGCATTGTGTTTCAAGCTTATATCTTTGTCATTTTATGACTTTTACACTTTTTTCTTTGTCATACTGCTGGAAAACCTTTAAATGAACCTTTATTTTTAAATTTGTAAGCGTAGCTTGCCCGGAAAGTTGATAAAAGTGCTTGACACACAAAGCCAAATTTGCCAACTTGGCGGGAAACTCAAATATTTGAATTTTAAAACTCAAAAGCGTATGCTAAAATTTTCTATGGGTACTATTGGTAGTACAAAAAAGTTATATAAAAACGAGCTACATATTTTTAAGTGAGGCAGATCGGCTACTTTCCCTGTTAGCCAACTTTTCAAAAATCGATTTTATCTAGCCAAATATTTCGTTTTCTGAACATTTTTGTTTAGTAGGTTATTGTAAGGGGTAGAATAAGATAACATGTTTTAGAACTTGGCAAGAAGCTTTATTTTGCGCCTAAAACAATGTCATACATATAAAACTTCACCACAATCAATAAACTACATGTAAAACAACAAAAATATTTTTGAAAAACACTAAATTTCAAAAAAACCCAACATTGGCCAGCACAAAACTCGAAATTGTATGTTGGTAAAGAGTTGAAAATTGAGCAAAAAACCAACGACTCTTTTCAAAATGGTGGTCGAGTGGGCTGGTATCGGCTTCAAATTCACGAGACTACATTATTCGAATAATGAGTGCAAATTTCAAAACACAGTAAAATAGTATTGACTATTGGTTGGGAATGATAGAGGGTGAGAAATGTAAAGTTTACCGAGTAAACTAAAAAAAATGTTTTTTTATTCAAATTTTTGACGGTTTTGGTTCTTGAAAAAGTAGTGTTCAGTAGCTGAAATGATGCCCTTTGGCCCTAAATTTAAAAAAACATATACTTCAATTTAATTTATTGATATTTAAAGCCTTAAACTATCAGTTTCTAAGCCTAACCTACTGTTTTACATTACATATAACAGTTTATTCAGCTAAAACTTTTAAGATACACATGCAGCCTCCACAAACTTTAAAAACCTCACGTACAAGACATCAAACATACACATCAAGCCCACACTATCATACGAATGTAAATAATGTAGATATGGAGAAAATACCCTTTCTACCTACTCTATAACTTTAGTAAAAAGAATAGGAAACTAATCCGCTAATAGGGCCCCGGGACTGATATGGCGGCGAATGAAGATTCCAGTCAGGTAATTACTCTCAATTCACATTATAGGACTATTTACTCGCATTCACATATATACACCATACATACGCGGTTTCCAAAGACTCTGCGGCTTTGGTTGGGGGTTGAAAACGTAGAGAATGTTGATGTAATAGAGTAAAAATGGTGTTATAAACGTGTATATATGTTAAAAATTAGTGCTAAAGTAAACTTTTTGATGCAGTACAATATCATACAATCACAGTATTGTTATAGTATAATGAAAAATGGTTTTTTATAATAATTTTTAAAAATCACTGTCAAAATAAAAAACATGTTATATTGCCAAAAAAGTCTTGTCGTCAAAACCAGTGTTTTTTCGGTCCGGTCAGGTCCGGAAAATTTTCGGTCCGGTCCGGTCCGGCTCTATTTTCTTTTGGTTCGGTCCGGCAAAACACTGGTCAAAGCACGTGATCTTGCACGTCCAAAAACGACAAGAGTTTTATTTGACACTATTAAAAGTACAGTGGAACTTCTGTAAAACAAAAAATCCTGTGTAACGGCAATTTTAAAATCCTTGAGCAATTCCTTATACAGAAGTTCCACTGCAACTACAAAAACTCATCTTTTTTATTTTTTGTTACCTATAAGTTAGCTTTGTCATATTCAACACTCACTTCTTTCTTCCACATCCTCCTCTAGTAAAAGCTACTATAAAATCTTAAAAAACAAGCCTAAAAAAGTAAACAAAAACAAGCCTAAAGTGCCAAAAAACTTAAAAAAAATTCATTTGAAACCGCTACAATTTTACAAAAATGGTGTTAGAAGCGGGTAGCGTGGCAATAATTGGATGTGCAAAGCCAAAACCAACAGACTGAGAACGCTTTTGTTTTCACATCTTAATTATGAGTTAGCTCGTCCTTATCGCCGGTTATGAAATGTACAAACTATTGCGAGCTTGTCGGTTTTGGCACTGCATTCTTGTCGAATGAAGGTTGTAATGGAAGGTTTAAAATCATAAAAACTTGTAGTTTTAATAGAGAATTTGAAACGCTGTTGTATAATAGAAATGTTGAAGAGAAGGTTGAGTTGAAAATTATATTGTTATAGCACAATTAAATTTTTAAAAATTTGTGTTTTTATGATGCCTTTATGATGACAAATCACTTTATTGGTTTTTATTTCTAAATTTCTTTTTTTGCAAAGTTCAATTTTTTAAATTAGGGTTGTTAGTAAGCATTGATGAGCTGTTAATTGAATGAAATCATTGAAAGCTATATTTCATAGATATAATAGCATTAAATTGAGCCCTTTGACTAGACACTAAAGCAATATAAAATCTAGGGTCCGGAAGTAGTTTTGACTTATCAAAAAATTGGTAACTAGAATAATTAAAACTCACAGAATATGATATAAATAGACCTAAAGGGAGGCCCACCAGGTCAGGTCGCAACATTTGAGATCGAGACCAAGGGCCCAAACAAAGACCCGAGCCAGACAAATCAAGGTTGAAACAGGCTAAGCTGGCTCATGTGAGTTCCGGAGCTTAACCAAGGGCTTAAGTCTTACAACAATTAGAATTTATTTTTTTTTTATTTTTAAGCATTTTTTTTAATTTTAAAGATATTAAATTGATGTGTTTATTTACTACAAAGTCACTTTTTAAATTTACAATAAGGTTGAATTCAAACGTTCTAGTTTTGGTTTTTTATAGCTTCTTTATTGAGGAAGACTCTGGGGGTTGTCATAGTAATCAAAGAGTCGACGTATATATATGTAAATGCAAATACGTTTGCTAACTTTTTAACAATTACCAAATATATTTGATTACAAGGTGCTTATTACGTCTGTTTTTGGGTAAATTAAACCAACTGGTTACATTTTTAATGCATGACGGTTTGGAATGTAAGATTGAATCGGGAGTTAAGACTTGTACGTAAATAACTTTTGTAATAAAAGTATGAATAAACGAAAAAAAAAATAAAAAATTTTTTGAAATTTGTAACATTTATCAAGTTTTGATATGGTTTTAAATATTGCAGTCATTTTATTTCTCTATTATAATATATTTATACACTGTTCAATAAAAAGCGATATGACATGTCAGCATTGGAATCAACTCGATCAACGGACACTGAAACACTTCGAGGAGGCGGATTTCGACTGAAACAAAAAATATGAAAGCTTCAAAAATTTTATATTATATTTGTTTCTTGATTCATAATATCTTACACGTTTCTATTACACTGTGACATCTAAATACAGTGGAACTCCTGTGTAACGAAAAACTACATTCTATTATAACTAAAAGCTGAATAAAGCTTACCTAGTCATCCAAAGCCATATCTTGCGGTAATCCCTAAAATAACAAAAAATGAATATAAAACGTTAAAAAATTTAAAATTTGAAAATTATTAAAACTTTTATTTTTTTAAATTTATTATATGTAACACCATTTTAAGTGCTAATTCATATAAAGTAAAAAACCAAAAAGTGTTTTAAAAGTAAAACATGACTTTAAAAGTAAAATACGGCATTGAATACAGGTAGTAAAGGATTTTTTCGATTCATAAAAAAAAACAATTTTAATACATTGTATCATTATAGGTATCAGGTTGAACCAATAGTAGTCATTTCGTTAAAAAATATTACAAATCAAACATGTCCCGCTACTTTTGGTTCGGCCTATTTATTATATATAATATAGCATAAAAACTTACCAACAAGTAAAGAAGAGTACAAGTATAGCTGCGACTGATGACAAGGCTACAGCTACAAAGAAGATAGCAGCGATGTCAAAATCAACACAATCAACATGAGACTCCAAACTGTTATAGTCCGTTTGAGTAGAAATGTGCTTTAGCATTGGCTGCTCAAAGCCCATTACTGTGAACTGAAACAATATTTTTTGATTTTTCAAAATACTTAATTTTAACATTTTTAATTTAAATTTAAAAACTTTTACCAAAAAAAGTAAAAAAAGTTTTGTTGCTAACTTATATAGTTTTCCTAGTTTAAAAGCGACAAGACTTATTTGACTTAAAAAAGCTTCTTAAAACATTTTTTTAAGTATCAAACTAGAACAGCCGTTGTAGTGCCGACCAATAAACTACCGGAATTAGGTTTGGCAGACTACTCTGCCCGACCTATGCGCGTTTCTAATTTTTAAATGTATAGGAAGTGCTAAGTGCCAAGGTTATGGCAAACCGTTTGCTTGGCCTACACAGGCTTCTGAATACAGCCTAAATTCTTGAGGAGTACCTCATCACAACTCGGTAGCTCGAGAAACAGGATCACCTCGATGGGGCCTTATTGGGATTTGCTACAATAGATTGCTCTGACGGCCTTCACCAAACCCTCATCATCCCTCTTCTCGTCTCAACTTATAAACCTTGCGTTGAAAAAGGTATAAACTTTATCAAAGTATAATAAAAATAACAATACTTAAAATTTCCCTTTGTTCTAACTCTTTTTAAAACTTTAAAAACTTTAAAAAATACAAACTTTTTCCAAAAAACCCACTTTATATCGCCAGCACGTTGTGAAACGTTGGAAGAAGCGAAGACGGCGATTACAATGCCATATGACCAAGGCCATCTCGACCAGTAATTCGCAAACTAATTGCCGGTTTGTAATTCGAGAGTAATTGGCATAAAACGGTGTTGTTAGCCCGTTAATACGCGAGTCGTTACGCAGGTTTTAATGTAACACCTAACCGAGAATTGACTGATTAGGTTTAGTAATTAACAATTTGTTACTCGAATTGCAAATTGCGTAAATAAAAACTCGGATTAAAATAGGCATGATAACAAGGAAACGAGTGTGGTGCATACATGTATATAAGTTTGTAAAGCAGCAGTTTACATTGTAGAATGGCATTTTTCACTTTTTATCAAAGATAATATTGTTTTAGCTCATGCTCTAGGCTATTTTCAAGCCAATCTCTACCTTTTTGCCATTCCAAGCTATCTGATAGTGAACAATTGATAGAGGCTATATAACTAATCAATATTTATTAACAAAACTACTTTTTACACGGTAATATTGTTGTCCTCAACTATTGTAATGTCTCCACTCATTTCAGCATCAACTGCTCTTCTGTGCCTTTTATATTGTTCTAGTTCTTGTTCTAGCTGTTTCTCTTGTTTTTGTAGTTCTTCCAGTTCTATCGTTTCTTCATCTACAAGAATCATATTTAGTTTTCTTTAGTATTTTAACATTTTGGATATCATAGTAGTTTCGGCAGCATAAACAGTCATTTTTAATTGTTTTTTACCAAAAAAGATTACCTCAAAAGTATAGTTTTTATTTATTAAACTGACCTACAAGGTGGCCCGCTAAATTCAAAATCACAGATTAGCAATTCACTTTAAACCTCAAAATTTCGAAGCTCAAAACCTAATTTTAAAAAAATTAAAAAATTACCATAAGGCTTCATAGTAGCCAACTGAAGCTTTGGAAGCTGGTTCTGCTGCTTAGAAACCTGTAACATATTTTCTAGCTCAGCTAGTTCTCGTTCACTTTGTTCTACACGGCTCTGCCATTCTTCTAACGATTGAGCAACATTGTTGACTTGCTAAAATTTTTCGTTATCAATATTATCCATTAGGAAACCTTAGACTTCATTCATAACAACTTTTTTCTTTAATCAGCTATATTTAAAAAGAACTAGTATAAAATCACAGTAAAATCTATGATTATTGACGTTTCTATGATAATTTTTAAGTAAAATACGCACTCTTTAAACAATTCTTTTTTAAATTTTAAGTTATTTAAATTTGTTTAGTCAATTGCAGTTAAGTCATTATTACCTTTGCCTGTAACCTCCGAGTAATCCGTAGTCCTTTGGCGACACTGTACCGATTCCTCAAGTTATCTTCATCAACTTTGGCTTGCCTCATCTTATTGTTTAGATCGTTGACTTCTTGCTCTTTCAATACCAAATTGGCTTCTAGATCTGCCAGTCTGTTACAGAGTTGCTGGGTCTGAAAAGAGTGATAATGATATTAGAAAGCTATTTCTTATTAACTAAACTTTAAAACACAGATAATTGAAGTCTTGAAAGGAAAGCCATGCCATCTAAACTACTTTTATCAAACCCCCACCCCCAGCAGTCCCTTACCCTACTTTCAGCCAGTAGCTCTCATTACAACTACCCAAAAAAAAATATAATGTAGGTATTCATTATAAATAACATACCTTTTCTTCTTTGTCCTTCCTCATCTTCTCCATTCTGTTCACTTCCTCTTTTTCTTCTTGCTCTGTCAACTTTTTCAAATCCTGAATCTTTTGTCTGGTCTCTTCGTTGAACTGCTTTTGAATCTAAAGGCAACATGTTATACTACTGTTTCTGTACTATTTTTGAGCATTATAATGTACTGCTACACAATAATGTCATAGACAGCCCGTTTCTCCCCCTACTGTGCAAAACCACAAAATCAAAGAAGAATATTACTATTAACTATATAGAGTCATATCGTAATTATGTATAACCTACCTCAATGTCTTTGTTGATTTCTTCCTGTCGCTGAAGCATTCGATTACATTGAGTAGTCAATAACGAACATTCATCCTCAAGTTTCTTTTTCCTCTGCGCCATATCGCTTAATGCTCGTTTCTCTTCTTCTTTTAGAATCTATAATATTATGATTAATTACTTATACATATACAAGTATCTAACTATCTTGGGAATTCCAAAATTGACTTTTAATCAAAAAGATACGTCATAAATATCAAAATATAGTTAATGTAGTTAGTAAAACATTAACTTGTTCAAATAATTCTGTGCCCCCTAACCAGAAAATTTGCTTTGAAAGGAAGCACATAATTAATTGAACAACCGAATCAAAGTGACACACCTCTTGTCTCCTCTTGTCAAACCTAGCCAATTGTGTCTTTGGAGCTTTGGTATCCTTAGAAAGGTCTGGTACACTCTTAGAACTTCTCAAACCAATTGATTCAGAAGAACGTTCGGCTTCGTCTCCAAGGTAAGCTTCGTTATTCTAAAGTTATATTTCAAAATTTCCAACAAATAGCAAAACCTACCTCCAGAATCTCTCGTTTCCGTTGAACTTCAGCTTTGACTTTTTCCAATTTTTCCGTGACTTCTTTCAACTTCTCATCGCGGTTCTGAATCAGTTTGTCTAACGCATCTGTTGTAAGATCGTCAGGATCAATGTCCAACTCCGGCGCACCAATTATGTAGGCTTTATACATTGCTATTGAACTAAAATGTTTTTACTATTAGCTTCTTTGTAGTATTAGGTTGTTCAAATAATTCTGTGCTCCCTCTCAGGGAAAATTTTTAGAGTTAGGGTGTACAGAATTGTTTAATCCTAATAAAAAAATGCTTAACAAAATTTTAAAAAGAACTATTGCACATGTCGTATTTTACCAAAAAGACATAACATATGCCTTGATCTTTTTACGAATATTTAAAATAACAAACATACTCTTCTGATAACAAAGCTTGTGTTAAGGCTTTATATCGTTCGATTCGATTCCTCAAAACGTTATTTTCAGAATTAACTTCAGCCAGTTGAAGGTTGATTTCCGTGTACTAAAAAAGTACTTTTAAACCTTCAGTTTCATATTAAACATAATAATAAAGTGAACATAAAAAAATCAAAAAAAAAGAATTTTTACGACACAAAGTAAACGTCGCTACAACCCCAATTAAAATCACCTTGTTATTCTGAACAAGCCATTCTTTCTCCCACCTTCTTCCTTCCTCTTCCAAATCTTTAATTTTCAGGTTGTTACTGGCAATGAACTGTTCTTCTTCAGCTTGTCGTCGCTTCAACTTTTCTACTTCTATATCAACGTTTGTTGCATGATTTTGCTGAAAATCAAGAGACAATAACGTTGCATGTACTATCATGACAATTTCTTATCATAACTTATCGTAAAACCAATGGAAACCTATTGACTGTTCCGTATTCTGCGGTTAATACAAAATTTTAGGTAATAACAAAATATGGAGTTGTTCAAAGAATTCCTTGCCCCCCTAACCCCGCGTATTTTATTCAAAACAAGGCAGAATTATTTGAACAACCTAATATAAAACTAGTCATACCATTAACAAAAATAGCAAAAAGCTTGAAATATGTAATCTTACAGCATTCACTACATTCATCTTCAATCTATCTCTAACGGCCATATTCTTCATGTACTTGTCCTGAATCTCTTTTTGTTTCCCTTCAATGTTCTTTATCATCTTTCGAATTCCTTCAATTTCAGCCTGTAAATAAAGTTTTTACGGCGAACGACTTCTTGACGAGGCCTGACAGTACAATAACAATACCATCTCATTTGAAAATAAAAAATACAAAAATTTAAACTATTGTAAAAATATTGCTTACCTTTCGATCCAACTGTCCCAGCTTCAAATCGTCAATTTGCCGTTGACGTTCGTAGATCTGCCGTGTTACTCGTGCTAAGTAAGTTTCTAACTCCTAAAAGCAGCGTAACTTACAAAAAAAAGTTTACAACATCACAGATAGACTGTTTAAACATAAACGCGTAGAATGATAATGTAGTCCTATAAAAATGTATACTGTTAGCCATATGCCATTACTTTACTATATTTGTGCATAGCTTTAAGGCCTTTCCAGGTTAATTTTCAGAATCACTCGGACAAGGTTAGTAGGCCAAATGAAACCCTTTAGATATAAAAATTTAAATTGTAATGTAATCTATCACAATACTATTATATTATAAAGTTTTTTTCCGCAGAAAAAACTTACCCGTATGGTCTTTTGATCTCTTGAAACTTCTCCTTGAAGTTCCTGAGCATTTGTTTCAGCTACGTTCAGTTTCGTATCCACCGTTCTCTTTTGCATCGTTCGTTGATGTACTAAAACAATGTACATTATAAATCACAATTATATCATGAAAAGGTCGCTCAAAATAACTCATAAATCTTTGATTAGAATTTCAAACCGTGAGGACCTAAAAACGTTGCGAAAAGCATTCAACACAAAGATTTTAAGTTAAAATACAAAACAAAGCCTAACATCGTAAAAATTTTACATTTCTCCTGAAGATCTTGGTAAACCAACTGTTGCTTCTGTAAATGACTGGTCATTTCTTCACGTCTCGCAATGGTTTGGTTCAGTCTATGACGGACAGCTTCGATTTCCTTGTGCAAACGGCTGGTTTCCTTGCGGCCAACTTTAACATTATGTTGATCATCCTCTATTTGTTTTGCTTCGTTTTCTGCTATACCCTGAAAGTTTTATTGTGATGAATATGAAGGGTAATATCCACAAAAATGTCGAATCAAAAAGAATTTGTTTGAAGGAAAAACAGTTGACTCAAATTTTATCGAGTTAAGTGTTGCTTTTTGATAATTAGTTATTTTTTGTAATTTTTGCCTGTTTTTTAGAAGTTGTAAGCCTTATTTTGACACAACTTGGGTTTATTTTTGATTTATTAACATTTTAAAATTGTGTTTACAGACTTACCTTCAGATTGTCTCGTTCAGCTGTCAGATTATCAACTTCTTTTTGCTCTTTTTCGTTCTGTTCAGTGTAATGTTCCAAACTTTCCTTCATTTTTGCCAACCGTTGCTCTTTGTCTCTTATCTAAATTGTAAAAATGTGTTTATAATGATCTATCATTTAAGGATCTTGCTATGAATTTAAAGAATATTCTCTTTTACAAAGGAAACAAAGTATATTCAGTTATTTTTTGTAAAATACGCTGTCTTCGGCAATAGCAATAAAATTACTAAGTTCGTACAACTTAGTAATTTTATTGTTAACTTAACTTGTAAAGCCGCTTCAGTTACCTAAAACTCAACTTACTTGATCATACAGTCCTTTGGTATATTCAGAAGCAGTTGGTAGTACTGATTCGACTTCGACGTTTCCAATATTCACCATCAACTCACTTTGCCGGATCCGTTCCTTGGCTTCATTGTTTAATGACCTACTCATGATTAATATTGTGATTACTGGTAAGTCTTTGAAAGTGTAGTGGTAGAAATAAGGCAGTAGTAAAAATTTATTGAAAGAGCAAGGTTTACCCAGGGAAAGTTGTGGTTATGACATAATAATTTGGTCGATGAGTGTAAGAGTAGAGTAAGAGTAAAGTTAATGTAGTATAGTAGTAGTATTTGCTTAAAAATCGACGAGTCTTCTGTTCTGAACACCGTATTGTTTGTTGCTTCGTAGCATCAAAACTAATTGTTCAACATAGTTTAAGCATAGTTTGGGTGCCGGAATCTGAAAGAAAACTAAAGGGAAAGTCGCTCGACTTTACGGTTTTTTAGTTTCTCTTCAATAAAACCGCTAAATTCATACGCCGGAAGTTGTTAAAACTACATCGAAATGAATTGGTCTAGTACACGAGAGTTTATGAAAAAAAACGTTAATTGATAGTAAGGAACACAACATAGTATAGTAAAGGAAAGTACTATTTTTGGATAACAAAAGTGGTTTAAAAGTTAAACAATAAATTATTAAATTGTTTACATAATTCTGTGCCTTTAACTCCAAAAATTTGCTTTGAGAGGGGCACAGAATTATTTGAACAACCTAATACATATAAACAAAAAAATTGACGGTAGTAATAGAACCAACGAATTTGTATCAAATTTATGGTTGATTTTGGATTGCTCACGTACTGTAACTTCTCTTGTGGTAAAATACGGATACTATAAAATAAGTTATTTTATGATTGGAACAAAAAGAGTTGATAAAGTAATAAAAAACACATATAAAGCTGTACGGTTTTCGTGTTTTCTGCTACTTGAAGCTGTTTTTGTTTCAAAAGAGCGTCTTCAGTTGTCATGGTCGTATTTTTTACGCTGAAATTTTCCTATTTTTCTTATTTTTTTACATTTTTTAACTTTTTTGGGGTTTTACGGTTTTGTGCTACACTTTATGCAAGCTATCTTTCGTTTCGGGACCTAAGACCGGCTTCTGAGACGTTGATTTGTGCCTAGCCTTCGAGCTTAAACGTGTCGGCTCGGCCTCTTTAAAATTTGTTTTGGCCTAGTCCGACCGGGCTCGTAGGAACTGTGCCGGGTCTAGTGGACTTCTTTTCAAGTCTCACTGTACCAAAAAATGCGATTTCTGCATCTTAATATTACGCTATTTTTTGATAAGTTTGAGTGGAAATTTTTATTTGTGCTTTTAATAGGAATTTAAAAGTTTTTAAATCTAAACGTAATGTTTTGCAATAATGGCACTTTTTAAAAAATAAACAAAACAATCATATCCTTGTCTATTGAACTCATTGTCTACTGTTTCAACCTTTAACTTCCTCATTGCTAATAAATCATGCTTATCGCTATTCGTTGTTCACCCGAGATGAAGGATGGCCGACACCGAAAGCCCAGAGGGCATAAAACTAGTTCAGAAAATGTTTCCAAGAGGTTGTGTAATCAGTTCGTATTTGAATAGCAGAGTCGGTCAAGCATGCAAATTCGGATATTTCGTGGGTCAAACTTGTGTTGACATCAAAGGGCGATAGTAACTTTATAGCCAGGGTTTGAGAATTTGGTAGGGTACACAAAATGTGATTTTTTTGAAAAAAAATTTTTATTTAGTTATTTGCACTTTTAAATTTTTTGAAATTTTAATTCAAAAAAAAAGTTTTTGAAAATGCAATTTTTTAAAAAATTTTATGGAAATAACTAAATTTAAGTGACATTACCGACTACAATACAATGAAATGTGTCATTTTAGATATGACATGATTTTACGTTCCTCCTCCCTTCGTCTGTTATCATTATAAATGCACACAAAGCGAAGGAAACGGATGTGTTAGACGTTATATCAGAACAGGTGTTATTTTTGACGATGTGTAAATTGACAGTTTCCGTTTGTTCGGCTTCAAATTTTTATATTTTTGGTTGCATAACAAATTTCTTACACGGTTTTGAATGGTTTAGGGGATGGTTTTGATTTGGAGGACTTTTGGCTTTGTTTCTTATGGTTTTTAAAGTCATGCTTGTTTGGTAAAAGAATTATTATGGTATAGAGTGAAGCTTCTTTAGTATGGCTCTTAATATTGTGACACTCTCCTTATAATGACAACTTTTTGACAGCCCTTTGTAATATAATCCTTATCAAAATGTACATAGTGTTACACCCTGGTTAGAAGGACGGGTTTGGATTAGTTCCTTGAATGTCATACTAAAGAGATTTGGCTGTATCGAAGAGATATGATATTCTATTATTAGCTTCATGATAATCGTTTTGATTTAGTAAAATACGGAATGTGTGCCGTTCAGATAAAAATAGCGTTTGATTGTAATAGTATCTATAAATAAAGTTTAAATTTTATCAATTTTGTGAGAGGGAGGTAAGCTGTTTGAGTGTAAGAAAAGTAAGGCAAGGTAAAGGGTAGGGTAGGATGAAACATCTTTATTATGACACTCAAGCGACTGGTCGAAACCTCTCTTTATAATTTGAGTGTCACACTACCCAGGTACTTTTTGATATGGGTTTTATTTGAAAGAATGGTTAAAAAGCTGTCATAATAAGGAGGGTGTCACACTACTGAGGGTTCCACTAAAAAGGTTTTACCTTTATGTTTTTTACAAAAATCTACAGAAATTGTCACTTTACAACTAATTGTAAGGTCATAACCTGAATCTGCACTATTTCATGCTTGTATATAAAACAAATTGTAATTTTAGTATGTCGACGTCCATCTCGCGTGTTAAAATATGTTTCTCGTAGCACAGCCGGGTTCGAATTTTCGTTTCATTAGCATCTTGTCCTATAAAAAGGCATGTAGGTAAATGTGGGAGGGCGGATAGATTACATATTCTAAATTACGTCTTTTGTCTTTGCAAGGACAGTTTTTTATAGGGGCTGTGGATTGCAAGGTACTTTTAGGTAAATTTGGGGCAATTTTCAATTGAAATTACATTTTTTTTTAATTTTGAAGCGAAAATTAAAATTAAAAAAATTTTGCAACTTTTTGTTGTTAAAATAAGGTTTATCTATAGCGACTTTACAATGATTTAACATTTTATTTTTCTAATGATTAACATTTGGCCTCTACAATAAGTTCATTGTACTTTAATCTGAAGATCTTCAACACTGACATTGCTTATAGTGACTGTGTGGTCTATAATCTTTGAAATTTCTGCAAAATGCCAAAAAGAGATAGACAGATAAAGTTATTGGCTTTTTCCAAACCAATTGTAAGCTAGTTTGGCTGACAACATCATTTTAAAGTTTTTGAATCTTAAATTCTGAGAAGATGGTCTAGATATTAGATTGTAAGATCGCTGAGGGTATTTTGATTTGGTTATAACTTTATTTATTCTTGGCCGTTTTTGGAATTGATCTTTTTGGAAGTGGGCTATTTTTGGTTTATACGACACTTCCTAGCGGAGAAAATTTTAAAAATAAAAAAAAATTTATGTTTTTTGTCATGAAAGAGTAGGGGACCGTAGAGTAGGGTGTGGTTGGGTAAGATACAGTAGGGTACGACAAGTTAGGGTAGGATAGGGCAAGGCAAGACAAAGCAAGGCAAAACAAGGCAAGGTACGGTAGAGTAGGGTAAATTATTAGTTTGGATGAGCCTAAAGTAGAGTGATATGCATTGTTTATAGAGTAAGGTATCATTGACAAAAGATTTGGGGATATTTAAAATTCGTTTTTGCTCGTTTTATAAAGTATGAGGAAGAACAGGGTATTTTTACACATTTTCTTAGTATCAATTTTCTATTTTTGTTATGGAACTAAACTTTTCATTGTATTATTTACTACAAGATAATCCTCACTTACAGAGTATTATCTACACTCATTACGCTTATCAATAGTAAAACATGTATCTAACATTATAACACGTTTTATAAAAGTTTATAATTGTCTTATAAACAACAACAAACTGTTGATGACCAAGTAAAGCTAATTATTGGACTAACAGATGTTTTGAAATAACTATTAATAAAAGTAATATACCATGATGTTGATAATAAAAAAAGTAATAAACTATTACTTTGGTTATAAAGAAAGTAATGAAAATAATGTGCTAATGTAAAAACTAATAACTTAAGAGTAATTTCGGCTAAATATCTTAATGTAGGCGTTGCTATTTACGCATTGTTATTTACGTATAGGTTCCTTTTTAAAATACTCATTTTTCTTCTTTTCCTGACCATAAATGGACTTTTTTTTGCATTTTTCATAGCATTTTTAATAATAATGTAGTGTTAATGAGGCTGTGCAGGCGGTGGTTAATCAACTTTTTTATTAGCAGGGTAATTATTTTGGGGTTGGGTAAATATGTTTTTAGATAATAGTAGAAAGGACATTTTTATTATATAAATAACTGTGGTTTTTAATGTTTATTGGTGTGTAGGTGTAAGTTATGAGGTATAAGACGAGGGTGCAAAATTGTGCTTTTAGCAAAAGGTCTTAAAAGATTACAAAACCTCGCAAAACATTGGCGATCTGTGGCAAAAATCAGGCAATTTCCATACCTTTTTGCAAAAATCTTGAGCAGGTCGGTCCTAAATTACTAAATTCATTGGGTAAATCCAAATTGAGACCAACCCACAAAAGTTTTTGAAAAAATAGAAAAAAAGTGAAGATGGCCTCTTAACTCTTTGGCCATATTTACTTTTTATTCCTTCCACTAAGCATAAAACATCATATATTACCGTACAACATGAAAATCCGCCCTTAAACACTAAAGATACAAACAAAAACTAAAAAACAATGCCCCAAAGTTCACAGCGACTAAAACAATAGCCACCTACTATAATATTCACCTTGCAACTTCCTCTTTTCAAAAAATTAAAGGCTTTTGCGCGCTGTCATCGCTGTACCAGTTCCGCGGAATTCATTCATTTGGCTTAATAATTAACAAAAAAAGTTTGTGGCGCTTTTTGTCTTTAGGCTGTTTAATGTGAAAAAGAAGTTGACTTCCTTCCGGCGTTTTTCTTCGTCCCCAATTTTTTGCATTTATT